CTGGCGCGTCCCTTGCGATCGGAGACATAGATGCACCTGCGGAAGGTAACCATCAAGGAGTACAAGAAGCTCTCGTCCTTCTGCTCGTGGTAGTTTTCACCGAGCATAGGCTGGATGGCCTTGGTAGCTTTCTCGGCGTTGTAGAAAGGAATGCGGCTGAAGAGGTGGTGGACAACATGGTAGTCAATGATTTCATGGAAGAAGTGACGACCAATGAAGCCGGTGGTGCGGTCAATTGTAGCCAGTGCTCCCTTGGTGTAGGTCCAGGCTTCCGCAGTGTAGTGAGCAACCTCGGGGTGGGTGTGTTGAAGGTATGTGATGGCAACTGTCGATTCGGTTAGTACTTGTTCTAGGGTCTCAGCTAAGATAGGGATGAAGACGTACTCAGCCAGTGGTGAACCCAGAGATAAGGCACCACGTAGAGGAAGAAGACATTCCACGCTCCGATGATAGTTCCAGTGTACCACACGATAGAGCCCATGATCAGCAAGCCGATATCGGAGTAGGCAATGAGCTTCCACTGGGCAGCCGTGAAGATTGAGCTCGATGGGTTGTAGTGGCTTTCAAACTTCACCTTATCACTTCCTTCAGGGCCACTCTTGGTACCAGCAGTCACATTCAGGATGAGATACATCTGCCATCCCAACAATTGGTGTCCGATAAGCTGGAAAAAGGAGACAATGGGTGTTTCCTCGGCGAGGTGCTTCAACTGCTCAATGCTGACATTTCTCTTCGACGCCAAATCATCCTCGGTCCAGGGGACGAAGACGGTGTCCTTTTCCATGTGACCGGTGTAGCGATGGTGGCGAGCATGTGTGATCTTCCATGAAAAGTATGGGACCATAAGGAAGGAGTGCGTAGCCCAGCCAATGAAATCATTGATGCCCTGGTGCTTCGAGAAGGCGCCGTGGCCACACTCGTGAGCAAGAATCCATAGTCCTGTGCCAACACAGCCTTGGAAGAACCCGTACACGGCCCAGGCGACGATGCGCATAGGCAGAGTAGGGAGAAGATGAATGTGGAGTGCACCGTAAATCAGAGCTGCACAATAGATGCTATCACGAGCGAGGTAGAGGAGGGAGGTGGCGAGGGATGATTCAAAACATTCCTTCGGGATTGCATCTTTGAGGGATTGCAAGCTGGGAACATCGGACTGCTGTAGAACCGGAAGGTTAGTATATGTGCAACTGTCTATTAATTGATTTGGTGCTATCGCATACCTGTTCTGCCTGTTTGACAGGCTGCCTTTGTGTTACGGCCATTTTGAAGTGTTGGATTGGAGATGACAGAGATAAGAAAATATTAAGAGGATTGAGGATATTTATTTCATCTCTATTTTTATTTTTTTTCCTTCGCCCCCTTCGCCCCCATAAGGTATCCCCTGGGCTCGAAAAAAAAATGAGCTCTAGATTGTCGGAACTCAAAAATACATTGACCAATCCCCTTTTTCCAAATTTTTTCCAGAACACTGTCAAATTCGGCGCACTGACAGGGGGACGGCCTTCTGATTGGGTGATCGTCTAACGGGTGGACGCGCTTGTTCCACGGATTCACATTGCACTAGCCACTTCGCCTTTTTTCAACGTTTCTGGGGCCCCAACGAAATTTCAGTCCATTGGAATTTTTTTGGTCGATACAATTCATTAAGGAAGGGCTCTCATTGAATCTGATATGTGATACCACTCCATGCTAGAACTCTACGGCGAAATCTATGGAAACTATTAGGGCACTAGCTGGATATTTCGGTGTTTGCTTTCACAGGTTATCCACAGCGCGGGAAGTCTCATACAACCCCTTTTTCGACCTCGGGAGAATCTAGGGATCCACTAATAAGCAAAGGTTGGGAAAGAAAAGTTAATAAAGGACTTGGCGGTTATCACGTTGTCCTACTGGCTCGGTCAGGGGCAGGAGCAAGAGCACTGCCCTCAATTGTTAAAAACGTAAGCGCTTTTTGATCATCCAAGATGACTTCTAAGGTTGCCTTCTGTCTAACGTTGTACAACTCCGTGTAACGCTTTACAACTCTGTATAACGTTCTACAACTCCCTACCTACATATGTGCATGTAATGTACGCGGCCTTTTTGATGGATGCAAATCTTGACATGCATGAAGTTTACACGATTAGCGATGACTTGTCATTTCTGCTAACGTTTGCCCAATCACAAAGCTATCAAAAATAACGTGTCATTTCACTCGGGCCGTTCTTTTCCGATACTTTTAATTGGACGTTTCGTGTTGCGCAGTTCCGATACGGAGTACGTAGATCCAAAAAGAGGGGAATAAGATAATTTTAGCATGTGCACATGACCTAGGCTGTAGTGCATTTGGATTATCCATATCGCGCATGAGCCCCGAGAAGAGGCAAGACTCTGGAGGTCAATAGGAAGTACTCCATCCCCCCGTACCTTATTTAAAGTTAAGTTTTGCCTCGGTAGGAGATCGGAGCATAGATGCACGTGATGGCATTAACATACCGCCCTCATTTCTTCGGACAACACTCGAGATCACATGAAGAGCCTCGAAGATTTGCATGTGGTTGAAAACTAATAATATCGACCCACAACAACCGGAATTACATGTGCGTTCGCCCAATAACTAAGTAGAATTCCATTTCGTAGACCTAAACCCTTTGCACCACTTGCTCTATCTTTTGCCTCATATAAACTTGCATTCCACCACTGATTACCTGTTAACTACCCCTTAGGTAGTTAGTTAGTAGCGTCACGTGCAGCACGTGACCGCTTGCAGCTGCTAACTGCTAATGGGAAAAAGAAGAGGGAGAGGAGACTATCTAGCTGGCAGTCCTGGCAAACTGGGTCAGGTGACTACCGATCCCAAAAAGATGTGCATTTGCATTCACTGTTGATCAGCTTCCTGCTTCCGCACTGTAGAGACGTAGCACGTCTATCAATTTCTCCTCGACTTTAACGGGTTGGTGTTATTTGCTATATTATCCCAACGCTTCCCTTTAATCATACTGTTTTTCAGGCGAACACCTTCCGAAAGCTAGCTCTTTATGTACTCCACTAGTCTGTCTGTCCTTTTGCTCAACCCCTGGAGGATCAAGATAATCAATTCTAAGGCCACCATGTGGGTATAGTGGGTCGGCTCAGGCACCAGCTTTCCCTTTCCGGCTAGCCTAGCCGTTGGAAGTATAACGACCACGAATGTGATTAGTATTCTGGTTTTTATGTATTTGTGAATTAGAAATGGATTGATAGTACCCTATACACAGTAAGAGAAGTTACACGTCGTTAATTAGGGAGATAAGAGTGAAGGGGTTTGGGAAGATGCGAAATGGTGACAGCAAAGGGATATGATGTGCGATAAATAACTTCACTGGGAAAGAAGGAAAATCAAACCAAGCCAAGTGGAAGGTGTTTGAGTTTGTTGATGGGGTTTGAAAATAATGGGATGGATAAAGATGGGAAGGATGAAGATGAGAAGGAAGGAAGGATGGGGATAACCTTAAAGAAAATGGGCATTAGGTTTGGTGTCAACCACGGGGTGGGAATACCTTCAAAAATCGTGAAGAGAATGGAGAGGGAAATAAAAAAAAGAAAATGGTGATGGGGGAGGCACGAGACAAGTGGGAATAGCTTCAACCAGGAGCCGTAAGAATTGAGACAGGAATTACCTCAGATAGGGAGGTGTGAATAGCTTCACAAAGCCAAGAAACACGAGCAATCACGGGAATAGGTGCAATGGAAGGAATTACATAGCGAGGAACCTGGGAATAGCTTTGGCGGTGACGAGATAGGGTGGGGATGGCTTCAAAAGGCATCTGACAAAAGTGGACCTCAGGACTCTGAATAGCTTCATGATCACCTAATTCGGCTGAGAAGGGTCCAGCCAATCAGATCGCTAGAAACAGCACAAAAGCACGGTTACCATGGACAGTCAAGACATAACTGATACCCCCAAGCCCCGCTGGCTCAACGGTAATAGCTTCGTAGTACTCTTCAACAAGTATCGGCTTCGTTGTGAGGCACGCGAGGTTGCATGTTCGAGCCAGGGCGTTGCCAGAGATTTCCGACTCCGAGGGATAGGGATCTCCCCCAACGCTACAGCATGCAAAAATCCTCTCGCAACAGGTGAAGACGGGCGGCCCTAGATCGCCATCTTGACACAAACGGGGGTGGGAGGGACGGTGGGCACCCATTTTTTTTATAATTTTTTCAAAACTGTTGGAGATACTAGCTAGGAGGAGAAAGAAGAAGGGGAATCATGACCTATTCAATCTATCAAGAGCAGGGGATTTATACCCTGCCAAACAATGACAGGCTCAGTCTGCAAACAAATGGAGGCATCAATGAGATGACTAGACAAAGGTATCAATGGGATGACCGACATTGTCTAACAAAAACTATTATATTTTCTATTGAAGCCATCATCTCCTAGGGTCCCGCATTTCAGGTTGGCACATCAGAAGCCTCCAATAAGCTCTAAATCTTTAAAGGCTCTGACTAAACTGTATACTACCTGAATCTCGAGATATTGAGTTAAAATAAATATAACTGGCATAGGAGTGATCTGGAATTGACTTTTTATACCCGAGACTTTTTCTATTTTTCTGGGGAAAGTTCCCGTATTATTTTTTCTCATATCCTACGGCTTCGAAGCTTTGATACGAGAGCATTGCGCGTATGTTTACCATAATCCCCGAGTGACTAACGCTTTATACCAAATGGATTGCAAGCTAATTTATTCACATCAGCAATATTAGACATGCTTAATGCATCTTTCTGCTCTAGCCAGCCGCTCTGAGCTGCGACATCTCGCTGTAGCTGGAGTGCGGGGAAACACCATCCTGTGCATTTATAATGACCAAAAGGTGCAATGAGAAATAATTATATGATATGACTAGCGATCCATAGAGACCCAAGAGAGGCATCTCGAGGGAGCAAGCATCTCATCTGAGGGCGAGACAGCAAGAGCTTCAGACTTTGAAGAACTAGTTCATATCACGACGAGCCCATGAGATATTAGGTCCCAAATGTCAAATATTCGTCGCATTTCCAATCGGCTTCTGTCCATTGCGCTTCACCTCATCCTCAGAGGATTGGAGATCATCTGTTCCATCCATGGTATTGTTGAGCCCTCTGAACCTCACCCACAAAACGATTGTTTGGAGAGCTAGCGCGACTGCCGGCGCCCCCCAAATCCATAATAGCCAGGGATCCTTCGTGACTGGAATCAAAATTTCACCAAGTGCACTCGAGAGAGCCTTCATAAATAGGAAGACTGCCACAACCAAGCCTTTCATACTTGGAGGTGATCGCGCATATGCCAGTTCGTATGCGGTAACGTTGCAAAAACACTCACTCAATGCCCCAAGAGCAATATTTGGAGCCTGCCACCAAATACTGATAGGAGCAACGGTGTCGCATGTTGATGCGTGATATCCGCATGGCGATAGCGTGTATACTTTCCATTGCACTATAGTCCCTATAATGCCAGAAACCATCGCCAAGAAGAATCCAAACGTGAGACGGGTGATGGGGCCCACATGGATTCTATAACGGTCCAAAGTCGGGTAAACCACGAATGTCAACAATGGGATCGCAACAATGATCGTCAGCGGGCTGAAGTTACTCAGAACATCATTGGGGACCCCGTTTGTGATCATGGCTGCGCCTTGGTTCGTGCTAACTGAGCCAATACCACCGACGTTGAGGTTCCAGATGGGAAAAAACAAAAACACATCGCATGCGCCTGTTTGCAAAAAGATGAGGTCAGGGACGGTGTCAGAAGTGAAAGGATCGAGCACCGCGGTGCTGCAATAGATGCGTGTGCAAGTCCAAAGGGGCAAATGGGCAGAGTATGATTTGATAGACTTACTGAGAGTCCTTGCAACATCATTCACCGCAGCTCTTGTCCAGTCCACCGTGATTCCCTTACTCTGCAGGGTATCAGGGTGTGCTGCATCCCAGAATTTCGTACGCCATACTCGAAACTTGTTCTGCTTGAGTGCGATTGTTGTGATCTTCAATGCTTGTGTGAGCTCAGATCCCCCATTGGGTGGCTCCTTGTGTATTTTATTGCGAACCGTCAAAAGTAGAATTGGGAGTAGCAAATAAATGATTCCCGTCAACAGAAACGACAGCCAGAACCCAACGTATTTCTCAGCATATGTAGTAGCGAGCATAAAGAGGGCACCGACGTTTATAAAGCCGTAAAAAATTAGCATGGTCCTTGTGGTTGTGGCATCTGGATCGACGATAACCTTTTCACCAGACTTGAGCTGCTTGGTGTAGGCTTTCGTGTGACGAATTTGGTCCAGGACCAAGGGTGAAACATTTGGTTTGAAGATTCCAGCGCCAATAGCCAATATCAACAGGCCGAGGATGAAGGGTGGAGCGGCATGGGATGAGCCCTTCTGAAGAACAGATGGAATAGCACCGATGATTTGGATTATATGGGCGACGCCGCAAATTACCACACCGACCATGATCGCTTTGTATCGGCCCACATGGACATCCGCCCACCAGCCGCCAAATATTGGAATCACATAGGACAAGAAGACAAACAACAGTGTCAATGCAGAGCTTGCTTGAAGCCCCATACCCAAAGCCCCGGCAGTTTTTTGAGTTCCCCGTGGCGTAGCGCCAGCTCCATTGCCGCCTACAAATATTTGGTCAACGGCGAGCAAACACCTTATTCAAAACGTAATCACGCACCTTCAGGAAGTGGAAATTGTATGAAGTTGGAAAAGACTGTATTGGCTCCATAGTAGGATGCACGTTCAGCAAACTCAACCAGACAGAGTGAGAAGGCGATAAAAGGCACATTCCCTGCGACTCGGCGTAACGTCTGCCTCTCGGCCTCTGTCGGAAGAGGGAACTCGTCAATGTGTGAATTCGTATTGATTTCAGTGATGGAGCTTTGAAACTTTTCCACATCCCCAGGGGGTGGGAACGTTGCTTGCTGAATCGATTCCGAGCGGGCTAAAGGAGCTTCGGCCATAGCTACTCATCAGTTTGTTACTTTGGAGGAATGAAATGTTTATGTTATCTCAGATGTTGTTCGCCTGTGGGACCCGAGAAAGGGATACCAGACACCCCCGCAGAAGCAAGGGTTAAAGAGGTAGGACAATGTCTCGATGGGGTAATGATATTGGCTAGGTTGGATAAACACCGAAAAGAAATATTGCCGTAATAGTAGGTAGCCTTAGAATCCGCTAGACAGGTAAGTTATATGCTACATATAGTAGTGCTATATGCTGACATATTCACACTCACATTACCTAGTTATACAGACCGAGATGGCGAATATCACTCACAATGTGACGCGAGAAAGTTGGGCTGTTACAATCCACCAATGGTTTGTGAACCACCACCGCCTGTTCTTAAGATCGCCATAGTAGTATTCATTTCGCAATCGAGTGATCACACTACAGTCAATATGTATAGTCAAAACCGCCGGGATTCGAGAGTGGATTCAAAGGAGAAGGCGCTGATTAGCACGGTCATTTACATGGCAATGCCCTTTTGAGACACAAGCGCCACATACAATCAAGAGGCTAACAACAAGCCGGCTAAACCAAGACTTTTTGAACTTCCACCAGCGAAAGGCCACGCACACTTCAAAATGATGCTTCCCCAACCCCGCTGGGCCAACGCGGTCACTACTCCAGCCCGCGCCAGACCACCGCCAAGGCCACCGCCAAGACTAACGCCGTTTCCGCCGGCGATCCCGTCATGCGATAAAGCAGCCGGTTTACCAGATAAGGCTTATCAACAAAGGTTCTATTCGTGGGGGAACAACGGAGTACCTAGGTACAGCTCTATGGTTTCATATCTGTGGGGGTGATCTCAGATTTCATATTCCAGACTTAGCTTTCTCAACTCTTTAATCAATAATCTCACATTGCACCATCCACCTCGACGTTTTCGTTAACAGTCAACACATTGAGGGAATCAGACGGCCAGGAATATCCCCCACGCACACGTGACGTGACCTATACGGAAAAATCAACACTTCCTTGTCTTTTTCAATCCAGATTTTGTTCTTTATTCAATTTACCCCTACAGCCGGGCTATCTGCAAAATGAGTTCGGATAACGGAGACTCTGTTGAACAATTCGCTATTCTCACACCGCGATTGATTATTGTTCCCACCCCAACAGCAATCTCCTTCAGCTCATACCGGGCGCTTTATTCCGACCTATATGCAAATGTGGATTTCTGTGAAATGGGTTTCGGCCATCATTTTCCAGCCAGGGTATGGAGCGACGAGGAGACGCGTGAGGTGATCCAGACGCGTGATATTGAACGTTGTTGGCAAAGGCGCGGTTTGGGTGATTTTGCTGTGGGGTTGCGCGGACCATCCACATTCGAGTCCGACAATCACTCCACACAGAATGATGATTTCACCACGCTCAAAGGGGATGACTATATTCGGGTTGCGGGCCTCAATAATATTCATCTCGCTGCCTCCGAATGGGTGGGCTATGCAGGCCTCCGTGATGCCACAACAACTTCGCTGCCGCCACGAGAGTCTGGAGATCCTGCACTGCCATCATGGGTCGAAATGATTGAGCTGCGCTACGGTGTCTCGCCAGAAGTGTGGGGTCAAGGAATTGCACAGGAAGCATCGAAGGCCATCATGCAGTGGTCGGTCGATGAAAGAGGGGTCAAAAGATTTATCGCCGAGACCGAGAGAAACAACAGCAGGAGTGGAAAGTTGTTGCAAAAACTTGGCTTTACACTGAGTGACACGAACTATTGGAAAGAACCAAGTCAACTAGAATGGGAGTGTGCTGCCAAATAAATGTTGGGACGTCTCATATACTATGGTGTCGCAAGTTCTGGGATGCAACTTCCCCTATTCGCAATCCAGCACTGCCGCTTTTTACCAATCTGTCTCGGTGGGGATTTTGTCGAACAACATTGAACGTACTCCGTACTCCGTACAAACTATACAAACCAAAAGATACCCATATCACCAGCATACCTGGATGTTGATTGGACGAAAAATATGACAATCTCAATCTCAAATTGCGTCAACGCCAGCCTAAATACATCTTGCAGGTTATCCCCAATGAGAAGTCATCCTCCAGTTGGTGTTAACAATATTGACCCATCATGTCCTTCGCTCCAATTCCGACACGGTGGAGTATTTTGACATCATCGCTTGCTTTTGTATAGTATCGCGTTAATTGATAAGAATACCCCCACGATTTAAAAGAGGCTCGCATCCTATTGACGATATTTCTCAGACAGCAAGATAATTCTTGAATATATTCTTCGCCTTCAAAAACGCTCCAAAAGACAACTTCTTGTCATGGCGCCCCGGTATCAAAGCGTTGCTGTAATCGGCGCTGGCCCATCTGGCATTTCTGCCGTCAAAGCCTTGCAAGAAGAAAAGATATTCCAGAAAATACGTCTATTTGAGCGACGGGGTCATATTGGAGGAATCTGGCAGTATGATGAGATTCCCGATCTGTTTCCATCCCAAGAGTCTTCCAGTCAGCAAGATCACGAAATCCCAAGTCGCCTTCCGCTGCTCCAATCTCCTTCTCCTGAAGATGTGACGTCTCGTACAGGCATTTACGAGGGCCTTGACAGCAATGTCGGTGCCAAAGTCATGGCTTTTACGCACACTCCCTTTCCCGAGATAAATTCAGCATCGTCAACCAGACACTTAGGGCGGTCCAACCCAACCCGGCCATTTCGGGTGGTGAGAAAATACTTAGAAGATGTGTTCCAAGGCTACCTTCATCTTGCCTCGCTCAATACAACAGTCGAGAAGGTTGAAAAGCGAGACCAAAAATGGACATTATCACTTCGTCAGTCCGGCCACGGGGATGGTAACACTCCTAAGGACTATTGGTGGGAAGAGCAATTCGATGCTGTCATTGTTGCATCGGGGCATTACAGCGTGCCTTTTATTCCTCTTGTTCCAGGGCTAGATGCTGCCTTCGCGCGCTATCCGACCGTATTTGAGCATTCGAAGGCGTTCCGAAACCCAGACGATTATGTGGACAAGCGTGTGGTGGTTGTTGGAGGCAGTGTCTCCTCAGCAGATCTTGTCGCAGATTTACATGCCATTGTGAAAGGCCCTCTCGAGCTATCCCAGAGAGGGAAGAACGAGGCACTGCAATCCGCATGGGATCTACCCAATGTCAACGCTAGGCCAACGATCAAAGAGATTCAAGCAACAGAGAAAGGGATAAGCGTCGTCTTTTCCGACAACAGCCTTTTGGAAGGCGTGGACAAGATCATTTTCGCCACTGGGTACAAGTTGTCCTATCCATTCCTTGTTCCGAACCCAGTCACCCCCAACAACCGACTAGCAGGGTTTTACCAGCACATTTTCAAGATCGGTGACCCATCTTTGGCTCTCGTCGGCCAGGTCCGCGCTGCAATCAGCTTTCGGGTTTATGAATACCAGGCCATTGCGGTTGCCCGATATTTTGCCGGAAGAAATGCGGCGTCCTTGCCGACGCCACAAGAGCAGGATCTTTGGGAGTTTCAAAGACTTCAATACAAAGGTCATACAGCCCTGTTCCACGAAATAAAGCCTGACTTTAAGGAATATTTCAATTTCTTGACAGATTTGGCTGGCCCTCCAGCACCGGAAACGGATGGTTACCCACTCCCTCCTTGGGATGATCGATGGGCAGAACAAGGATTTGAGATTCTCCAGCGAAAGGATAAGTACTGGAAGTCGCTACGAAGAGCGGCGGATGGATTAGGGGCAGTGACGGCTAAACTGTGAAGTCAACATTATCTACCGCCCATAAGAAGGAAAATAAATGTATATATTGCAGCCTCAGGTCGCCCAGTGTGACAAGACCGAAGCTCTGTTGGACATCCTAGAAGGCCAATGCATGTGTAGGCTTTTTGAGTCAAGTTCAGTTCAGTATATTTTGATTTATTTATTTCTGCTCGACATTTCCCGACTCAGCAAGGAGATAGCCAGTCTTTGCCATCTTTGCCATATCTCCCGAGGTCCTCGTCTTATGTGTTTTGTGAATCCTCTTTTCGCGCCGGGTACTCTACGTGTGGACCAAAGTACAATTAGTGGGAAGAATACAAAACTCATTGGAAAGAAACCCCTCTATTCGTGTACTCAAATGGGGCAAAACCGGATCTCAACGGATACGATTGATGTATGTAAATGCAACCATTTTCTTAGTTTGGAATGTTGTTTTGCAACTTTCAAAAAGCCGGGGGCGGGGGTGAGCGGACTGCGATGTCCATTCTGCATGATGTGGCCCATCTTTCCATTGGGTAATGAGCACTGGATGCAATGCAGAAAATAGGAGTTTCCTTTTGTAGTCAGTAAGTGTAGCACCATACGTTCAATGCTACTCTGACAGTCCTGGTATTGGCTCAAATCATTGCTCTTTTATCAGACGCGGCCCGCCCCCATTTCCCCCTTAAGACCTAGGCCCGACCATCGGCCAATCGTATCTCACGAACGTCTCATCGCCTGTCGATCACGAACATGGTTGGTCTTCGCTCAGGTGCTATTATTATAGCGTGGGATTAGACTATCCTCATATATAAATTTGGTACGCCCAATGAGATAAACATAAACATCCGTCTCTCTACCCGTCTCTCTACCATTCCCAAGTACTCCGACGTCATGCGCGGATTTCTGCCTTACGGTCTACTGGCCATTGCCTCTGCAGCAACAGCAGCATGCTCTCCCACAGTCTACCTCATTCGACACGGAGAGAAGCCCAGTGATGGAGGAAATGGGCTGAATGCACAAGGAGTCAAACGTTCACAATGCATTCGCAAAATTTTCGGCCAGGATTCCGATTATAATATCACCCACATTATGGCGCAAACGCCTAAGAGCAGTATGATTATACCATTTCCCTATGCGGCTTCGGTACGCAGTATTATAGACTAGACCACGCGCTAACGTGAACGGCACAGATGGCAAACGCGCTCGTCCCCTCGACACCGTTAAGCCCCTGGCCGAAGACCTCGGTCTCAAAGTCGATACATCTTGCGACCGCGATGACCCAGATTGTGTGAAGAAGGTGGTCGATGATTACGATGGAGAAGGCAACATACTGATTTGCTGGGAGCACGATACACTGACGGATATTCTGGAGACACTGGGAGTCAAGGATGCACCATCTTATCCCGACGATAGGTCAGTGTTCAACCCTCGTTTCATAGCTTTCACTCGACTTCTCTGACATTCACATAGTTTCGACATCATTTGGACCCTCCCATCCCCTTACGACGAAATGTCCAAGGATACCAAAGAGAATTGCCCCGGTTTGGATGATTAAATGCACAACAGTGTTATATGCTTCCAACACCTCATGTTCAACTCGGCTTTCTTGCCGCCCGGACTATTTCTTTTACAAGTCACACTCAAATGGAAGATAGCATTGAGAGTCAAGTGTCGTTCTGAATGAATTATGAATTTGCACCTGAAAGGAAGACCTTCTGACATTGACATGACCGACTTTGTTTTGGATATGCTTAAACTGTGGACTGAATGCATTCGTGGTGTAGAGAACAATCTGTAGAAATTACTAGTGACCTCATCGGCTTCCTTTTCGACCTCGGCGCTATTTATATCAGTCATGCCTACCAATACATTACCTGGACATGCATCTTGGAGTCTGCTCGCTGTCTATGTAGTTACCTTGGTGATCCTTGGCTACTAGAAAATAATCATTAGAGGTATACAAAAACTCTAGTTTTCTTAGCGGACATTTTGTCACCACGTATATCAAACCAAACCCAAAATATATACGCTGTGAGTGTTCTATTTACGAGGAACAGCCCGAGTAAAGTTAGTGCTGTTAAAAAACCTCCCCCTCCACCAACCCATTCAAACAACATTGCCATACTAGCTGGTGTAGTAACGACCAGTCTCAGTATCGTGGACCATGTCAGTCTGCACGACCTCCCCATTCTTGAGGAATCCGTTCGCCACGACTCCATCACCGGCCACATTATTTGAGTTCCGTTCCAAACGATTGTCGCCGCTCTTAACAGTGAAGTTAGCCAGGGAGATCTCCCCAGCATTGCGCTCCTTGGTGGTAGGCATGCCGAAGAAATGAGCTCTAACTTGTTCTGGGGTGATATGGAGTTCAAAGTATCCGCGGTAGTATCCCTCAGACCAATGCAACGACTCACTGTCAGTGACAATTCGCTTGGAGATATCGTTTGCCGCAGAAACAGTGGTGTTCTCTCCAAATGAGGAAGGAGAGCTGACCGCCGCTCCAGCGAATTCCACACCGATGGCGCCGGCCCCGCTGCTGGAGTCATATGGGCTGTGGTCGAGCCAGGTCAAATCGCTGACCCAGTTGACGTGGGTATCTCCCGCGATCACAATGTTGTTGTCAATTTTGTTCTCGTAGAGAGTCTGCAAGGTCCTGTTCTTACTCGCCATATAGCCATCCCAAGCATCCAGGTTCAGTGGTTGTTCGGGTCCATTCTGGACTGTCATGTTCAAGTTAGAGAATACTGCAATGATCCCGTTAGAGTAAGATAACATTCCAAGCTTGTAAATAAAGAAAAGCATACCGATTTGACTGCCGAGGATGCGCCAGTGAGCACCACGGTTGGCTGACTCAATCAGGTTACGCTGCAACCAGGCCTCCTGACGGCTTCCCATCAAACTACGACCGGCATCATCTTTGATCTCGTTGATATAATTGGTGTTATCGTAGGTATCCGTAATGGAGCGGTCGTATTGTCTGGTGTCCAGCATGATCAGGTCCACCAATTTTCCAAGCTTGAAGTTTCTCCAGATGCGAAGGTTATCGTCCATCTCGACTTGTCTAAATTCGATTAATACGTACAACTTAACATTATTCACAGACGACTCACCTGATGGGCATCCATTCGAAGTAAGCACGGACTGCGTTCATCTTACGCTGGTCAACGGAGACACCTCCATCCTGAATAAATGATTTTTCGTCGTTCCTGAGCTCCGAAGCGCCATCCCGGTAGGTGTTGTCGGCCACCTCTGCTGCAATTAGAACCCAAACACATATTCCTTTTGTGAATGCAGTAGGGCCATACCGTGGTCATCCCAGACAGGAATCCAAGCAAACCTCTGATGGCTGGCAAGCAGATCCAAGTCGGTTCTGTAGGTGGCAATGCGCTTGCGGTAGTCATAGAGAGTGAAGATGGTTCGGTCCGGTTGAGGGATGCGTCCCATGCTGTTACCCCAGCCACTAAAGCGAAGCTTAGCTGATGTCATCGAAATTCTCGAGTGATTCTACTTACTAGTCACCGTTCTTGTATTCGTAGAGGTAATCACTGTATACAATCAGTTTGAGATCTTATGCGAATATCAACCGCCACTTACCCGAGATGGAGAACATAGTCCACGGAATCCTTGCGTACAGAGTGTCCGTAGGCATTAAAGAAACCAAATGCTGTATATTCTGTCAGTTCACACACACTCACACACAGGTCGACACGGAGACATACGGAAGTTGGCGCAAGAGTAAACGGCCAAGTTGACCTGGTCGACCTCCTCCTTCGAATCAGGAGCCGTCTTGGTTCTTCCAATCGGGCTCTTGTTGTCCGAATTGCAGACTTGGAACTGATAAAAATAGGTGGTGAATGGCTTCAACTTGGATGCTTCGACCTGGTAATTCAATGAGCGAGTTTCCCAAGTCTCTGATCCATAACCAGCTTGCTTACCTTAACAGTATAGTCGATGTCGGAACTCGTATATACAGTACCTTCCGATGCAATGTGCTTGAAGCTCTCATCTTTAGACACCTTGTAATCCAAGCAAACAGGAGCATTTGACATGGCCACCTCTTCCTCTGCATCTTCATTCCTTGAGTATATCGGTACTGGGTTGTACAACGGAACAAGTCCATGCGTAGAGCTATTCGAATGAACATCATCAAAACTCGGCGAGCAGCGGGTCCACAGAATTACCGAGTCTGCATAGGGATCCCCAGAAGCAACGCCATGGGTGAAGTGCAACTTGGACGGGTCAAAGGATGACCCTGGGACCCCGCGCTTCGCAACTCGGTGAATCGAGACACCCAGTCCTGGATGATTCTCAGACGGACTGCGGTAGTTCAGATTTCCTGAATAGCTTGCAGTGGCCGTGGCTGCAAGTGACAGCACGAGAGGCCAGGAGAGCTTCATTCCGAGAGAAACAAGTTAGCTGGAGGGTAAGAAATTGAGAAGTCAAATGAATATTGGGGTTGTCTCTGTGACCACAATCCAACCGGCGCTTGACTGGCTCATATATAATAAAGAAAATCGTAGTGGTTTCCATTTGAGGGGAGTCACAGCCAATGACTTCGTGGCATCCAACATTTAATCTGGCGTCTGTTATTATCAGCGAATTGGAAGGACCAACAGCGACATGACCTTACAGCTTGACAGGATTGGCAAGAACATGCATTACATTGTACAGAAAATAACCAGTTCTCGGCTCTACGGTTCAGGAACATTGTGAGCCACGTGGAACTACAAGATTTATCACTGGCGGATTGGATGTAGTGCCAAGTGCCCTGATATTGTTACCTTTAGCCAAGATCTTTCAACTTTAAGCCCACAATATCCCTGTAATTTTGATTGAATTAGTAATTAACTGATCTAGTAGGACAGAATATCCAAAGGCCAAGCAATTGTCATGGCAATTTTACACCATTTTATCCGATTGACTGTTTGTGAGAAGCTGTAAGGTCCGAGGTAGCTAGGTACGGGCACCCAGTTGGGGGGGTTATAGGTTATGCCAAGCCCGGGTATCCACACTCAACCCGGCCACGGTGACCCCCGTCAGGTCGTGGACTTCGAAGAGGTCACCGTGACCACTTTATTTAACATAATTACATATTCTGTTCGACTGCTATTTGTGTCCCCCCTTTTAATTCTTCGGTCCTATTCTTCCATATCTGTACTCCGTACATAAGAAATCCTTACCCCTCTAGACGCATTTTCTAACCACTAAAATAAAATAAATAAAAACATATAATTACAGCGGTAGGATAAAAAGTTATTAATATTAGAGGATGAATTTTAATAGTACGTAGTATACGTGGTGCGGAGTGAGTAGTATAAACATTCAAATATTAGTATATAAAGTAGTGGTGAGGATGATATATTTGTAGTTTGCATATACAAATATTAACAAATTGATGTGAAAAATCAATTAAATGGCTACTTCTACTATATATAAATATATGATGGAAGCAGAATTGTAAAGTAATTAATTGTTCTTTATAATATAAGTAAATAAATAGTACAGAATTGCTGATATGTATACATTATACAATTGTAGATATCGGGTGTAGTTTAGTGTGGGAGGTTTTACGCTAAGCTCCTATATTAACTTGATATGGGAACCCACTTGATTATATCATAATAAAATGGCTACGGTGACCTCTTCTAAGTCCACGACCTGACGGGGGTCACCGTGGCCGGGTTGAGTATGGATAACCTGGCTTGGCATAACCTATAACCCCCCTTCAAAACCAACTCGAAAAGGCAATTTACAGGTCCGCCGTTTACAATTTAAATATAAATAGAAGCAAGTGGGACTGGGATCCTGTTGGTATTTCGCAGTTAAATCATGATTAGGAGACTGTGGGGGGAATAGCCCAACAGGTTAGGGGAGATAAAAAGCAACTCATCCTATTGGCAAAAGCTGGATCGAAAAAGGCTCATTTGGTGACAAAGTAGTGGCTCTGGTTCCAGTTGTGATACACACGGAGATGCTGTACCGAGTTATGGAGCCCGGTTACCTATTCAACCTGCGAAACGGTGGTACCTTTCTCACTGGACTTGGGAGCATCGGCGGTGCCTTCCTCTGCGCGAAGGTCTGCCATCTTGTCTGACCGAATAGCTCCCTGCTCCAGCATGCGAACATGATGGTACTGCACGCTTGTCTTCCATGGCGTAAGACCAGGGGTGGTGAACATGGTTTCGACCTCCTCCAGGGTTTTGCCAGCTGTTTCAGGGAAGGCGAAGAAGACATGGATAGTCATTGCAAAGCAAAAGACTCCAAAGACAACATAAACCTTCCATTTGATGTTTTCAAAAGCGGGCGGGACGAAGTAGGATAGGGCAAAGTTGAAGATCCAGTTAGATGAAGTTGAAAGTGCGACAGCCTTGCCACGCAGGCGAAGGGGATAGAGCTCAGGGGGGTAGATCCAGCTGACAGGACCCCAGGTTGGCGCGTAACTGGCGACGAAAAGATAGGTGCAAGCGATCACTCCCTTGGCGGCCTTAGGGGCCCCGGAGAGATCCCACGACTGTTCGGGGGTGTGGTTGAGACCACCCGGTGGAGCTGGCTTGCCGTATGAGGCCATGATACCAGCGTTGGCAAACATGAAAATCATCATGAGGGTAGAACCGACCAAAAGCGGAGTGCGACGGCCCCAACGATCAATGAAGAGCAAGGCTAGAATGGTCATCACAACATTGATGACGTACTGAATCGAGGATGCGACAAGGTTTGAGTTTCCAGTGAGACCAGCCATACCAAACACGTAGGTGATGTAAAGCATCATGACATTCATACCGGTGAGCTGTGACCAAATCTGAGTGAACATACCGAGGTGGGTACGGTAGAGCATAGGACCCTTGAAAAGGTCGAGGTACGAGGCATCCTTGTTGCTGCGCTCAAACTCGACCATTTCACGGATCTCTTGTAACTCAGACTGCACGAAGGGGGCATTGTGGTCACCTTTGGCGTGGACCGAAGCCAAAACCTCGTGAGCCTCCTCCCAGCGGTCCTTCTTGGCCAACCATCGTGGACTCTCCGGCAATAAAAAGACCAAGCCAAAGAGCAGGGCGGCGGGAACCATCTGCAAGCCCCACGGAGTGCGCCATGCAGCGGAACCCTTCAGGAAGCTACAGCCGTATGAGACGTAGAACATGATCAAGATACCCCATGTGATCGCCCACTGTTGTGCTCCCACCACCTGCCCACGCTTACTGGGCTGTGCTAACTCGGCGACATAGACGGGGACTTGGGCGCTGAGGATACCGACGGAAAGGCCGTTGATAAAGCGACCAACGACAAGCTGGGCTATTCCGAAAGATGAACACACGATGGCGCTACCAATGCACCAGATCACGGAGCCAGACTGGATGGCCCCACGGCGACCCAGATAGTCAGTCACGAAACCGGAAGCGAGAGCGCCCACCCAGGAACCACCAGGCATGGCTGCTGAGATACCACCCTGATTGGAAGAAGTAGGGCCACCACATAGACCCTCATCGTTGGTACCAGTTTGGTTGAAGAAACACTTGTATTGTTGGGTGCCGAGACTGTGAGAGATAGTCAGTGATCATCATCCCTCACCTTGATCTCGTCAAGGGATGAGAAGTCTTACATGGCGGACATGGAAGCAATATCAAAACCGAATAGTGCACCGCCAATGACGGCCACCGTGGTGATGACATAGATATTAGTTATCTTGTACCCCATGATGAAGTTCCGCAAGGGAGTCAGATCAAAGATGGAGGAAGAAAGAAAAAAGAAAGAAGAAAGGGATGAAGAGCAAGGGTGAGGGATTTTAAAGATAGGAAGCTGAAAAGAAAACAAAAAACGATTAAAACAATAAAACAGTAAAACGCCCAAACGGGAAAGGACCAAACCCAAAAATCCTAAACGAAAACGCGGAGGTGTGGAGATGCGGGGGAAAAAGCATATCGTGGGTTCAGGGGAATACCTGAATTATAGGTGCATTCCTACTACAAATGGATGTACAAATTAATACTCCGTATGGAGTGTCCGTACGGGCACCCATAGAAAGACTATAGTAGATACCAAGACAACCTCGCTTTTCCACTTCAATATGTCGGACACTGTGAAAGCCAACCTTCGAAGAAGCTACCCAAGTCACCAATCATCAGCTGGATATCAAATTAGTTTGTGGTCAGATGCCGGTTAGCCCCCTAGTGTATGTAACTTCAAGTGTCGCCTCAAGCCACATGGTATCATCGCGTTGTCGGACATTTGCCTATTTTGTTCAAGGGTATTGGTGGAAGGTCCCTGGATGAGGTCTGCTGTCTCCTGATTTCCCCTCCTTTGTTGACAAGTCAGAAAAAAAGGTAAAATACAAAACTAACTTTCCACCAAAGGGGACCAAGAACCAAGCATCTTCCCAATGAAAGCCGACATGCGCTCTGTGTTGGTATCGAAATTGTGATCTCAGCTTACGAGAGGCTTGACTTAGGGCGCCATCGTGAGACGGATGGCGGTCAGTTCTCCTTGGCAACGCGCCTCTCCCGCTATGATTCGGTAACACGGCACATCCATGAGCCAACGACCTCGGAGGTTGTTTGTCCGACCAAGAAATACTTGTGTCCATCGTACTACCCGACTAGCATGGAGGATTTGCACGACACTCTAGAAGCAAGTTCCAATGCTGACTCACTGGCGTATCACACCCTGAGCCATCTCTAACCAGGGCTCTGCCGAGTTGGACCTCAATCGCAAAATCCTAGGTGGCCCCATAACTAGTAACTTGGCACATGTAAAGCGCCACATTACGGTTGGGGCTGGAGGATTGAGTGCGCACCCTACGAAGCCGCAAATTAAGGCGCCAAGTGGGCCGTCAAGGCTACGGTTACCAGGTTCAAACATGCCACAGGACTTTCACTCTCGGGGTAAAAGCCCCGAACAAAGGGGCTGTTTGCTCACGGCAATTGCTGACCACCAAGACTCGGTTCGTTTAGAACGCGATTCCCTTATTTTACGACGGCCGTCAACGACTCAGGAAAAACCCCTTCGAGGAGCTACGTTCGGGAACAATGCATCACTTTCCCCCGCCTCTCCCTCTTACCAGTTGGTCTAAAAACATGGCGCACGCAGTTTCCCTACCGAGTCGAACAGGTGAAAGAAAATCAACGGCCAGAAATTTATGCTTTTTACTGTCATTTCCCGCCCTCTGCCGCTTTAAACTTATTTTGGGTCGCTTATTGGTCGGTACTAAAATGTGATCCATCATATTTGCAACTTGCAACGTTGCTCCGAGGCTGAGAATCCATGCAGAGTCCAGATTGAACAATCGGACCAGGAAAATGTGTTTAATGTGTTTAACCAACTGGTTGAATCTTCCCCTGAAATTTGCTAGCTGTATTTGGGCCCGTGCCCCAAGCCTAGCCCATAATTGACGCCACTACGCCTATGGCACTCCCCTAGCTCCATCCTTACCATTGCTTCTTTTGTCCTGGAAGACCCAGCCACTCGGACTAGCAGTCGTGCATCGAGAGGCTACGGAATATGAATAGCAGACCTAACCCAGCGCGACCAATGTTCCCCGGCTCTCCAGACTTCACAAGCTTTGTAAGGTCGCGCTTTGACGATGATACTGACAGCGGCGCATGTATCTCATGTGAGGGTTATGGTTTCTTGTCTAGTAAGCCTAGTGTTGCGCGCTATAACTACTGGGCAGGCATACCGCGGAACGAAGGGTGACAGAACAAATATGCTCGAAGCTGTCCATCAATACTCCATGTATACTAAACCGCTGAGGTGAGGCCATGCTAACTGCTAGCTAAATACCGATGCCCGAACAAAAATGAGTCAATTATGCACGGGCCTTGGTAGTTGTACTGATCCTGGCCATTATCTACAGATTCACTCTCCTGGTAGGTGCTTATGGTTTTCGGCTTCGGTGTTGCAGTGCACGAGTTGGACCTGCATTTCAACGATTCGGCGATTTAGGTTACTGGAACTTGATATAAGACTCGTGAATGGAGCCCTATTCATGCATTGCGACCAACGAACCGATGGCCTTCCATGAATCGAGTTCTGTTTCCGGGTATCATGGCCTGCGTGTACTCATATGCTTATGATAGCTTCTCAAATACTTGGTTGTATTATCCATACAACCAATCATTGGATCGAATCCTCGTAAGCGTTGGATGTAACCTTGGCTTACTCCATTGTCGGATATTTTATGCAGATCCCACGGAATAGTAAGTCACCCGTCTGGGGCCAAATACGAGATCTAACGACTAGTGTCGTGGTTCCAATACCGGATATATTATTGCAACATTTCCACAAGATGGCGTTACTAAGGTTGCATTGCCGCGAATTGCCTGTATTGTCCCCGCAAAATACCTACGTATGATGCTTCATGGTCAATGCTTCCGGTAAATACTATATCAGGTGCACTTAGGAGGCTTTAGGGAGGCTGTATCCCACTCCAAACGTTATTTTGTATATTGGCTAAAAGAAAAGTTGTCAGGTCGTCAAAAAGATTGATGCATGGTCTATTCCCCCCTCTTACGAATGCGCAACATTGAAGTCTCTAATAAAATCAGAATACTCGACAAGCAGAGATGGCCATATGCATGAAAAAAAATCAACATTGAAATTACCGATCAGGTAGCAGTCATCCCTTGGGAACAATATCGGGAAGTCTGACGCCTGTGGCGTTGGGGGTCAAAATGTGGGGGGCTAACATCCCGCGATTTCTCATTTTCTTCATTTCCCCTTGTTCTCTTCAGTGAACCTCACATCATGGGCACAGCGACCGATTTGCGGTCTCCTCTTTCAAACAATGATCCGCTCGATGCCTTACCACCACCTTACACAGAGCACGACCCGCGGACTGCGGGTCAAGCTCCCCAATATGACACACCATCCTATACTGAATCTACCAGCACATCTGCAACCACCAAATTCCCACCTGCCATGAACGGATACTTTCAATGGAAACTCACGACCACGTTCCACCTTGGACCGACCGCAGAAGAAAAGCTGTACGCGGTGTCAACCGCCGCGACTGTTTTCAATAGCAAACCCACGGTCGTGTTACACGATGGTCCAACTAATAAGCACCCGGTAATGGCAACGGCTCAAGGTGACAAGTGGGGAAGGGTTAGGCCCATTGCAATCACACTCCCACCTCGTCCGGGGTCTCAACATGAAGACGCCATCGTGGAACAGGTCGTTCCCGGTGGGTCGCTGAAGCATATTTCACCTAGCTACACATTCGAAATGTCCGTGGGTCCGAAGGGAACAACACCCGAGAGATTCGAGTGGCGTAAAAGCCATGGCAATGAAATCAAAGATCTCGCCGGTCTCTCCTATGGATGGAAATTGGTGCGGTTGGCAGGACCAGTGAACAGTGTAGGTGGGAGCAGAAGCGAGCGCGATCGCGGTTACACAAGCGATGGGTTGGAGATTGTGGGTCTCATCGCACACAACGCTTCTTGGAGCATGACCAAAGGGTTTCGATTTGCCTTTATGGGCGCGGGGCTGACTGGTACCATGGGAGAAAACTGGGAGATTGTTGTGGTTACTTCTGCTCTCCAAATGTGGTTCTTAGACGTCCAAGGCACATCTGCTACAACCGCTGCTGTAAGTGCTGCCACCAGTTAAATTGACCACAAGCCTGCTCTGTTGTTCTGAGCTTCTAAATTCCATATAATTCCTGACGTTGTCTCGACCATACAACGCAATGAATACACTCTCTTGGAGGGATAGGCACATCGCCTGAGGTGTTTTTGCGTGATGGATTTCTGCTCACCCTCATAACTTCCCTGGTTTGGATGTTTTCTGCATCGAGTGATTCATTTGGGGTGTAGCGATCAAGCCTGACGTACTTTTGTGACCGAAAAGAGATCGGGGTCAATCTAGAGCCTTTTTCTGGCGCGCTTTGACCATGGCGTGCGAGGGAGGAACATTTCCACTATAAATCATAACTATGTGGACTCATGGTAATCCGTACAGCATTAGAAGTCGGATGGTCATTTGATGAAACCGGCGGCATCCGCGGGAGCGGATATTAACGTTGAAGTCTCTGAAAGCTGGGGATCCATTGATCAACAAAGGGCACACCAGACATCGTGTGTTATAGTAATTGCATGTGAACATTGTCGCTAACATGGTCCAATCCGAGAGACTCTGAGCTTTTCAACGATTTGCACTGGTCTCGCTCTTGCAGGTGCGTCCAAGTCCAATACTGTCCAATGTCTCAGGTCGATCTCCAGCTCTCTCGCTCCACCATCACCTCCCGCGAGCCCACTCGGGCTGATCCACCGTCGTCATCGTCTGTTTTTGCATTTTTATGCTGCTCGATATACGTTAAACATCATCGTTATTACTGATCTCCGACGACTTTATTGCTTTAAAGCAATATGGAGGAGATCTATCTGCACCATGACTCGACAACTTCTCGGACACCATCTTCAGCACGGAGTGTCATCGCAATAACTGCACATCTATGCACCTAAGTGGCTCTTCGACTGTCAATCTCTGCCCCTCAGACCTAAACCCTCCCCACCCATTCATGCGAAGTTCGGGGGATTCCGCAGAGAACTCGATACAATCATTTCCTTCATATCTACTATAACCGGTTGACGAATACAGTCGGAATTAGAATCCGAGAAATCGGCAAACCTTCAGACAAACGCAATTGTCTCGGCGTTAAGGTGTTGAATTTTTTCTTTAAAAGTGGAAACGCAACAGTTTACAGCCTCTCAGAGTTTTCGGATATAGATCCACCCGCCTGGGCATGGCGCCCAGCATTGGTCGGATCAGATCAAAGTTTGATCTTTCCAGAACTCCGCCGGTGGCCAAATCTGCAATAATAGAAATTGATCTTAAATAATATGGAGTACTCCGTGCTGTTCGTTCTTTTGATCTGCAATTAATTTTGTGGTTCTCTCCTTCACTACTTCCCCGCGATTTTCATACATTCCACTCATCATTGTTTGGCTGAATTTGTTGAAGTTATCCGAATGTGCCGTCATGGAGCTGGCGCTGCCCAATGACGTACTTCTCTTGATAGGAGAGCAGCTGGAAAATAAAGCAGACCGCTGGAACCTCATCTTCGTCTCCCATCACTTCCACGATCTCTTCCTCCCGCTGGTATATCGAAAGGTATCTATATACCATTGGCAAGATGCCAATTCATTCCTCCATGCCATACTGGAACGACCTGCGCTGGCGCGGGCCGTTCGGGAGCTAGACCTCGCAGACTGGCATGCAAAAAGCGTATCGGACGACGAATGCAACCAAGTCCAGACTTCGGCATCTTTGAGGACATGGCTGGATGCTGTATCATTCTCAACGCTCGAAAGTGATCAATGGGCCCAGAGCCTCGGACAAGGCGTTGCTGACGCCTGGGTTGCGCTCATTCTTCCGTTGTTAAGTCAGCTCAGGAAGCTTTCACTGGCCTATACGACAAACTCTCCATATTTGGACCGGATCATGCAAAAGGCCGTAGACTGCGAGAAGTCGTTTTCTGTCCAACCCTTCCGGCACCTCCGGGAGGTCTCATTGCATCATCGGGAAGATCTCGACCACAGCGAGCACCCGGACGATGCGGGAGGTGAAACTCAACTATCGTCAACACTCCTCCTGCCATTTTTCCAACTGCCGTCTGTTCGTGCTATCACAGCGAACTCTGTGGTGGATCCTAGCTCTACCACTCCACCCTCTGAGGATCTGACGGATGATCAGAAGCCACGCCTTGGCTTCTCCTCGATTACCGAGATTGATTTGCGCGCAAGTAGTGGGAACCATGGCATGGAGACGTTGGTTAGTTCATGCGCAAACCTGAAGTCATTCAAATACCAGCATTCGGACTCGCACGTCCTTTCGCATGGCTACCAACCATCCGCCTTCCATCGCTCTCTGACCCACAGCAAAAAGAGCCTGCAGACATTGTGGCTGGACCACTATGGCAGCCACTACCCCTTCACCGCTACTGGGTTAAATCAATCCCACGACGAGTGGTTTGGCTCCCTTGTTGATTTCACTGCGTTACAAGAAGTCCGCGTGAGACTACCAAATCTTCTGGACATTCGATATCAGAACGAACCGACCACCCCTCTCATGGAATGTCTCCCATCGTCGCTTGAGACCCTTTACATCGAAGGATGTGAGGAGCGTTATCTGGGAATGTTAGTTTCCCAATTACAGACCGTGATCAAAAATCGTCGGACTCGTTTCCCTGGACTCAAGCGTCTCGATATCGAGGGTGCATTCCAAAACGTAACATCCGAGGACGATGATCAGGTTGCCAGCTCCGGATCAGAAGTACTTGAAGCTGTGATCAAGGACAAAGTATATCAGGCTGCTGAGCCTTTGCATATAGACTGTGTCAATGCTGGGTTGGAGTTGCATCTTCACGACCGTGCTCTGTCTGTCCCCATTCATTAGCAACCTTCAGGCTTGCATTTTCCAGCATTTGATTTGACGATAGATACCACCTGAAACCTTTGCATTATATAGATCTGCGGTTTATTTCTCATAGTCGTGTTCATGCGAGACTCGGAATTTCAACAGTTTAGATGATTGAACGGACCTCCCACCCTTCATTTTCAATTCAAGTTCTGGATAGGTTTTATGGCAAAGCTTTGGATTATTCTTCACGAAATCACTAATTCAGACTGTAGATAGTGATCGAAGTTGTATCTTGTGTATTTCCGTAAGACCCACATTTCACAAAGAAACATCCATCGATGCTTCCAAATAACATTCGTAATCGAACTTGGAGTGACCAGAGGGTATTATATAGGTTGCGTGTTTAAAGGGAAGCAAGAACGGCATCGGCGCCAGATTTCTGTAGACAAATTGCGCTGTTAGCCACCAAAAGGACCGGAAACGAATGATGAAGTTCCATACCTTGACAACACCCCTTTCGGTCTCGATTTGGGCATAGCCGACCTTACCGTGATCGATAACGATCGCATACCGGCCTGTACGGCCCGACGCCTCATCGGCCCAACCAATGCTCTTGGAAAATTTGGCATCGGGATCCGAGAGGAAAAGCTATTCACCAAAATCAATACTGGTCGCAAAAACACGCAAAGCGGGGTTGTGCTCACAATATCATCCCGAACTCCATTGGCCTTGCCCCAGGCACTCATCACGAACGGATCGTTGAAAGCAACGACCGCGACAATGTCAACCCCCTTCTTACGGAGGTTGGGCAGGTTCTGGATATATCCTGGCACGTGGTTGACGGAACAAGTTGGGGTGAAGGCACCTTAGTTCACACGCACGTTAGCATTCCGGCTTCAGCTAGAGGGTAACATCGTAACAGCGGCATACCGGGAACTGAGAACAAGACGACCTTCTTGTTGGCCCACTCCTGCGAGGCATTGTAGTTGATGGGAATGCCGCAGGAGGTAATTTCATCACTCTCCTCGCTCCATGGAATGTACCTAGAGGGGTCAGGGTCATCTTTGCGGGGGTTTGGGATTGACCTACTTGAAGATGACGTCGTTAGGGAACGAGTCGCCAGACTTGAGTGTAGTCATATTGGGATAAATGTGAATATTAGAGAGAAAAGATACGAAAGAGTAGTTGGGATTTTGGAAATGGCGGGGTGAAGATGGATGTTTTGATGTCAAGCTGATTAATATGAGGTGATCGGGCGGAGCTCGCCGACCTCGGCATCTGGACTCCCCTCTCCCTCTCTTCTTTTTTTTTTTTTGCTATCTGGGTTGTTTACTAATAATTGGGAGTTCTAGTGATAACTGATAACCTTCGTATCTCAAATGATAGAACGGTTGATGACGAGCTATTACTGGGAAAGTCAAGCTCCCAAACTCCCAGATGGGCTGCAGATGAGCCCGTGTGGGGACCCCGCGTACGCCACCTAGCTCCAGTTCAGAATGGCAAATTGAGGCTTTGATTCTTCATTTTGTTACCTCCTATACAAAATTTAATGTCAAAACTTTCAGAGAATCTATTAGTTGCAAATTTATATATTTGCACTAACCCATCAGAGTCGAGAGTTCAGCTTGAACATTTGAACGCCGCCCGGACGCTCTTCAAGTCGCAGGACACCCTTTTACATGAAAAAATACGTTAAATTTGAACTGTGAGAATGGATGGGTTGGCTTACCTCTTGAGTACAGCTTGCAAGTAGCATACCATCTTGGGCCCATATTTTTGCAACACCACGCCGCGGCCATTGTCAGCCCAATCGGTCTGTACTTCAGTCAAAAGCCATTCGTCGGCTTTAAATTGCTTAGCATGATGGAAGTAAATGGTATGGTCCAGGCTGACCATCATAGCTTATGTTTATGTTCATGTGACTGTAGCCGTCGTAACACTTGTGCGATAGCACTCTTACGTTCACCATGACTTTGCCAAAACTCCGGAATGGACGTTGCTGTCTCGCACAAGAGGCGGAGAGAATTGATTCCTCTGGAAGCATGTTCCACCGGAACCATTTGTCCTGGTTGATTCAGTGATGCATTGAACACCTCAAGCGATATTGGGCCTCGGTACCCGGTGGCAAGCACAGCAGCCGCGACAAGCTCAACCGGCATATACGCACCTCTTGACTGCTCAAGCGGATATAGCCGATGACTTCGCGACCATGGGAGCAGTGACGGTGTTTCCGGGTCAGTTGGAGGGAGGAAAGTCGTTGGGTTCATCAACTCCGCATCGCCGCACTGGAAGAAAAATATCCGATCACCTGGTACCGTCGAGACCAACGACGCAAGTGACCCGGTAAGAACATCCAGAGATTCCTCCAACGTTGGGTAGATCCGCCCGTGGCCAGCGACATTATACGGATCTGCAAACTCGACTGCGAGGGTATTGAAGGCATCCACGATCAGCCCAACGTTAGGGCGGTTGGCAAATCGCACAGCTTCCCATGAGGTCGACCATGTATTTCGAGTTGCCCAAGATAGACCCTCGTACCCAATTTTTAACATGCGCCCGCCATCGCCCTTTGCGTATGCAGCCGCCATGTCTCCCAGTTCCGCGAGGTCTCTCGCGACCGTCTTGAGATCAGATGTCACTCCCTCATCCGTGCGGATATTTGCACACATGAAAACAAGATCGGTGTCAAAGGCGCGCATAAACGGAAACCGTCTACGGTAGTAAGTTATTATGGGCTTTATCGCCGGATTTCCGCTATTTTATTATCAGGGTAAGGTATATCTCACTTGGCGACTAGATCGAAGGTAGCCTGGCGTTCGGCTGGATCTTTGATCCCCTCGATTTTCCGAAGAGGCTGGGTGCAAGCAATTTGCATTCCCAAGGACTTGACAATACCAGCCAATTTGCGAGCAACCTGCAGATTCTCTGAAGTCGGTTCCCAAAGTTGATCTCCTGGCAGTCCATGTTCCTCTAGGTAAGCAGCCCAGCACTCGTCAAACAAGTCGATCCATTGATATCCCGATTTCGCCGCGGCTTTCAGGCGTGCTTCCAAACGATGCTCTCGCCAGTTGCCGAGGGACAAGGTGGCAATACCCAATTGGTTTGCTTTAGATGGGGGCGACGGAACTGTCATAATTCCAGATATCGCAGTTTGTATGTTGTATAATTATTTTGAGTCATCAGTCGCGTCCATTAATACAACAAAGGGATGATCGAATACCCGAGATGTTGACGCTAGTTGACGACACCTGACGCCACCTCCATAAACCGGTCTATTCTTTTAACACACCGAGTGGGGTAGTCGGTCATCTATATTACGGCGTGCAGTATTATTAGGAAACCAATCAAAGTCTTCAGATGTCGATTTATTCATATCAGCAGAAAGGAGAAGAAATCTGGGAGTGCATAGCAACATATGCCCAAAATTTCGGGGACTATCACGACAATGTACAGCTGAACGGAACATCAAGCTTGCGCACAACCAACTTTCTAGCTCGAAGCTGTTCAAGAAAAAACACAGGTTGACCACATCATATCTTACGTTCCAAGAAGCTAGATACGCGAAACATCTAAACTGAAACGGGGAGTCCGTCCTTGGCCTTCAGAGCTGTAACAATAGCCTCACAAACGGAGACTGCTACCAGTGCATCCTCGGCCGAGCAAAGAGGGTCTTCTAAGTCACGAACCACTCTTGCCAAATGTTCTGCCTGTTGTTGAAATTGAATCGCCTGAGCGACATGAAGTGTAATGCGTGCCATTGGAGTTTTCCACCCAGCCTCTTGGTTATATCTGTCCGCCGTGTCCGGATCGTAGGTCCAAAGGGTATTTTCCGGGACAAAAATAGTCCCTTTCGTGCCCAGGATGTGATAAATATCCACTGGAGTCTCTGCTTTTGGATATAAAGGATTGTCACCTGTAGCAGACTCCCAACCGTATGGGCTCACCACATTATCACTCACCAGAAGGTCCCAACAACTCCATTCGAAAATTGGGCCATAATCGCTGCACCCTAATTACATTCAGCCGTCACCTGTGGAGGAAATATTGTATGGCCCCCGCATCCCTGCGCGGGTGTCCACCCGGTCACTTAATTTATGCCCCAGCGCCGATGCATCTATAGGTCCCGGACTATCAACATTCGACAGTATAATCATTATATACATATTAATCAATTGCTCTGATGAGGTTTTGAATAGATAGTCCACTGATTTCCTAACGTTTCCGGCCTGACATAAACCATACCCACAATGGAAACTATTCAAGTCGATGTTCTTGTCTGCGGGGGAGGCATGTCTGGGATGGCATGCGCTGCTTTTGCAGCGGAAGCAGGAGCCAAAGTACTGGTTGTCGAGAAGCAATCGGATGTTGGTGGTTCGTCAAATTACTCTGCGGGAATGTTGTAAGTGCTCGAGTCAACCTTTAGGACAAACAAGTTTGTTAATACAATCAACGGACAGCTGGGCCCCGCAAACATATGACAAACTGAGAACCTGGATCCCAGAGGGAGATCCGGCATTGCAGAAGGCCTGGTTAAGCGATTATCTACCGGCTGTACAGTGGATGCGTGAAAATGGCGTGCCAACGGCAAACCGATTCGACGGTATCGTGACAATCGGTAGGACTAAAAAAAAAAGGAATTTGGTGAACAGTTACCCTGACATATCATAGGTATTGGATTCCCAATTAAAATTCCACACCTTCATAACCTCCATCGAAAGCGCATTCAGTCTAGCAAGACAAATTCCGATATTTTGACCAACACGTCGGTGGTCAAGTTGATTCAGAGAGAGCCCAGGGTTTCAGGATCAAGTATAATTGGCGCTGTCATTTGCAGGAACTTTACCAACTCGCCAACTGTATATTACGAAGTCCGAGCCAAAATGGTGGTGTTGGCTACCGGGGGCTTCCAAGGTTCTCCGGCGATGACATCTAAATACTTGGGACAAGGCGGAGACAACATCTCTGTGCGCTCCAGTCGTGGATCTGTGGGCGATGGACTCAATCTGGCCATCGAATCTGGTGCGGGAACCAGTAGAGGAATGAACACCTACTATGGTCATCTTCTGGCAGCTCAGGTTCGAGCTGAAGACGTGGATCCAAAGGACTATCTTCCACTTGCACAATACCGTAAGAGCAAGTCCTCGTCAAATCTGCGTTTCTCTCTAATCAAGCTACAGAAAGCAAATTCTGCATAATACTGAACGAAGCAGGTCTGCGATTTGCCGATGAGACTACAGGTGACGAGATCATCAATCAGTATCTCGCCAAGCAGCAAAAACGCCGCGGGTTTATATTGTTCAAGTATGTTAGTCCCCAGAGAGCAGGCAACAGGACAATGTATTGACCTGTGTCTTGTTCTAGCGAGAAAACCCGTCTCCAACACTGCGTCACTGCGTTGTTCCCTAATGCAGGGGACATCGATCGTCTGCAGAAAGCCCGCGAACATGGCTGTAATGTTGGAATTGCGTCAACATTAAGTGGTCTGGTGGATATTCTTCACGGATGGGGTGTGAACGATGTACAGGCAAGACGCACTATCGAGGAGTATGATCGAGTCGTGCGTTTGGGGGACAAGAGCATTTCCCTTGATGCCCCTATCGGTCGTGCTGGTTCGCCCCCTACACCCTTGGCGGATGGGGAAGGTCCCTTCTATGCCATGGAGGTCCAGCCGTCGTAGGTTGTCTCCTACACACTCCAATCATCCCTGTCTAATGTTCGATAGGATCACATTCACCTACGGCGGTTTCGCGATCGATGCGTAAGGGCACGCCTTGACTCCCGATAAATCCAGAATTCCAGGTTTGCTTGTCGCGGGCGCGATGCTGGTGGATTCAGCAATCTTGGATACGCCGGGGGTCTTTCTCTCGCGTTTGCGGCAGGTCTCTGGGCGGCTCGAGAGGTTGCATGCGAGTTGGGATTGCCGGAGCCTCGCCTACCCCATGCCGATGTTCGGGATGGGGAGGATAAACCAATTCAATGGCGTATTTGACCTAGTTCCCTTGCAATTTGCGTCTAGAAGTTGGCCTTGGCGTGATAGCTTTTGATCAAAATAGTATGTCTGAAAATTCACACTAAAAGATGTGACGTCGCGTTGGTCACCAAGCGGTTGGCTTGGATGGCTCGATCCACCCTCTATCAAGGTCCTCGCCTTCCAGCAGATGAATATAAACCACGTCCCTCCCATTCCCGGTTTCCCCTTCCCGTCCCCTACGTTAAAACATCAGTCCACCGTTGGTGTCTGAGGCATCCTCTCAGTAGATACAGGGCTCTGTGTTGTCTCCTCCTCCTCCTCTTTTTTTCCTCCCTGTCAGCATTCCTACATCTCTTGCTGACCTCTGACGTGTTTCCATGACCTTTACTTTTCGTCTTTCTACTTCTCCCCTCACACGGGGTAACTATGCACAAACAAGAACGAGCAACGACTTCCGATTTTAAAAACATTCAATCATTTGCATACATTCTGACAGTGCTTATGTACGGACTTCGATACTTTAGGGTGCCACCAAAACGCCACGATAACGCATTTTTCCTTCTTCCAATGTCTTCAAGCTTTGCTTCACGCCATCCAACGTCAAAGGGAAGGTCATCTTGACAGGCTTGATATTGTGGAATGAGGCAAATTCAAGCATATCCTTGTGGACCTGTCTCGAACCCACAATGCCTCCTTGAATGCGAAGGCCATTCAAAAGCAGCGGCATGTATGGGATTTTGAGATCGTTTGAATCGACGGACAGAGGCGAAATGACACCACTGGGAGCCATGATACTCAAGTAGATTGACCAATCTGGCTGACTGCTGGTCGTCACGATGAGGTTATCAATAGGAGCTTTGATCTTCAACTCCTTCGCACCCTTGGTCGCATAGAACTCGCCGGCTCCCAGCTTCATCGCCTCATCCTTCTTGCTGTCTGTACCGGAGAAGACCACAACTTGGCAGCCCATCTTTGCGGCGAACTGGATAGCCAGATGTCCCAGACCACCTACTCCGACGATACCAACGCGAGCAGTCGAACGAACCTGCGCGGCATGGAGGGCGTTGAAAACAGTTGATCCACCACACATCAAGGGACCCGCATCCTCGTTGCTCATGTTGTCGGGAATTTTGAACAAAAAGGCTTCACGCCATACGGCATGGCTGCCGAAAGATCCCTGGTCGAGATCGGCCAGGCCGTACATTTTTCGCTCCCTGCACATTGTCTCCCAACCGGTGAGGCATGGCTTGCAGAAACCACAGCAGTCATGCTCATAACCCCAACCCACACGGTCGCCTTTCTTTAGAATCTTCGCGTCTGGACCAGTTGCTTCCACCACGCCCGCTCCCTCATGACCAAGTGCCATATCGGCTGACTGGTAGTGGACGTCCGTGCCGCACACTCCCGAATGGGTGGTTCGTACTAGGACTTCGTCTCTTTTGAGGTCCTCCCGCTCGGTCTCCGCCTGTTTGATTCCATCCTTGGAGCCCTTGTATACGGTGAATTTGATGGCCATTGTGGGAAATATTGATGCAAAAATGTATTGAGGAAGGATTCAGAATGTTAAAAGCTCATAAGTCTGCTTTATAGGCGACCCCCTCTAGTACGTCACTACCAATATTTTCCCCCGGAAGAGCGATCGAATAGCGCGAGATCCACTCTATGTGTTCAGTCAGAACAAAGTTTCGAATCGAAAACAAGATAATCTGTGATGCAATCGAGTGGGCCTCCTGGCCGATGAGATGCGCAGGTCCCACTGCCGAGTGATACCACGGCCCTTTTCCCCTATACTTCCTCAAAATTGAGCTAAAAGCTCGATGCAAGGAGTTTCTGGATCAAGATCTAATCTTTCCAGAATCGTTTATCCCGTGGCCTTGCCAGGGGCTTGATTGACCGAAGACTTGGAGGGGCTGAAAGTTGATGACATCATACAATTTCGGCGTGCTCACTCACCAAAACAGCGGTCTATAGTCACATGGCAGAGCAACACCCCTCATAGGGAACTACCGTAGCTAGTGGATAAAGAAGCATGTTTCTCTTCCCCTTAGCTCCAGTGTAGCAACCACTGTCTGTCTGGTGATAATTAATCGACCGCATAATACGCATGCGGCTACTTCATTCAACTCCGGATGCGGAAGATCGTTTAAATCTTTATAGCTCGCTCTTCAACAAGGACCGGCGATATATATCTCAATACAGGAGCTTGTCGAAAACTATATCATCGGATTTAAAGGAGGATGTGGACTTTTTGAATAAATCTTTTGAAATCCATAGATTTGAGACCTATGATAAATCAGTGTCATCAAATGTTCCCATTAAGACCCTATTTTGAAGGCATCTTCAACTCAATGAAGACAGCGATAATATCTGAGCAACCGATTGATTGTCTCCGCGTGTACCCGATCGTCGCTAATTCTGCTATAATTAAAAGGCGGTAAAGCCACGCGATATCGGGCATCCCGATTTGGAAGGTTCGAAGTCTAAAAAAAAAACAAATTTTCTCTCGTCTCGCACTTATGAATTGTTGGATACAGTCGTATCTCAAAGACATATAACTTTTGAGCCCTCTGCGACGTTCAGGGGACCCAGTTTGGTGTGAGAACATGATTCAGGTCCATGGCATAAGTAGCGCCGGTGAATCGCCCCATGTCTTGTCCGAAAAAGATGCAGCATTGGCGGTGGTGAGCGAGTTCGCGCAAGAAATTGATCCAGTGGTGGAAAAAAGGGTTCTGCGAAAGATTGATTTGTATTTGATGCCTGCCATGCTTATAGGTGAGTTACACACTTCATATATCTGACACGGGAATTGTTGACTAACTCGAACACAGGCTATGGCATGGTGTACTATGACAAGGTGCGATGACTGCGCCGATTTATTTATTAGCCAATATATACTGATCTCTCTATAGGCTATCTTAGGTAGCGCCACGCTCTTTGGCATGACGACCGACTTGGGATTGCTAGTGAAAGACTATTCCACTTCTCCTCCATCTGTTGATACTTCACGGCTCAGTTGGGCAACATCAATCTTTTATTTCGGGATGCTTGCTGGTCTCTACCCAATGACATTTATCTTGCAAAGGTTTAATACTCGAACTGTCCTCGGTCCAGTTGTTCTGATATGGGCCATTGTCTGTGCCGCCACTGCTGGTGTGACAACTTGGCAAGGGCTTTTCGTCCAACGATTCTTCCTTGGTAAGTCTACCTTTAATATCTTTTACTGATCTCTCATCTAACAGAATATAGGCTTCATCGAAAGTGTTATTCCTACGGGCTTCATGACCATAGTCAGCGGGTGGTACACCCAAGAGGAGCAGACTCTTCGACAGGCATGGTGGTTTTCTGGCACCGGTTGGTTCACTATCATCGGTGGCGCCCTGAACTATGGGTTTGGCCAAATCACCGCTGGATCATTGAAAAGATGGCAGTATATCTATATTCTGGCTGGTGCCTTGACCTTCTTGTTTGGCCTCTGGTGTTGCACCATGCCTAATTCTCCGGTTTCTGCATGGTTCCTAACCCCGGAAGAACGAAGGGTTGCTGTGGAGAGACTTCGCAAGGGGCAAACTGGTGTTCGGTGCCAGAAGATCAAGTTCGATCAAATCAAAGAGTCTGTGATGGACATTAAGATCTATCTGGTGGCTATCATGATGGCGGCAGCGTGAGTTTTCATTCTTATTATGTGGTCTATAACAGTTAAGCACCATACGTTCCTTGATGTTAACCTCTCTTAATCTAGGTACACTATCAATGGTGCTATCTCGGGCTTTGGGCCGTTGATTGTGTCCACCTTCGGCTACGATACCCTTCATTCAATTCTATTCCAGTTTCCCGTCGGCGCCATTTGTGTCGTTTTCATTCCTCTTTGTGGTTATATTCCTACTGTTGTCCCCAACACCCGCATACCCTTGCTCATTGCCTGCTGCCTACCTGTTATTGCTGGCTGTGTGATGATTTGGAAATCTCAATGGGGATATCATCCGGTTACTCCAGTCGTTGGCTATGCGCTAACTGGCTTCTTCGGGCCAGTGGTCAGCTTGATCATCACCATTGGAGCTAGCAACGTTGCCGGGGCCACGAAGAAAACCGTCATGGCAGCAACTGTATTTGTGGCTTACACTGTCGGCAACATCATCGGGCCGCAGCTTGTGAAAAGCAACACTAAGTCACAACATTACCCAGAATTGTGGACTGGCATGATCATTTGGTAAGTTTGTATCCGATTTCTGCTTATTCGACCGATCTAACGAAGTATAGCTACTGTATCACAATTGCTACCGCAGTCGTGTTGTACTTTGTCCTTCGGCGGGAAAACCGAATTCGGGAATTGTTGGAATTGGATGAAGTGCAGCGAGACAAGATTGCATTTGACGATCTCACCGACAAGCAGAATCCTTTTTTCCGATACGCATTATAATCAATAATAGCCGAACCCCTTCCGTCTACTGGATGGAGACATCTCGAAGCTAGAGCTTCTGGCTGCCATCTAACATTACATATCTGACAGTCATATCACGTGCATATGTCTTATAGAAGATGCCAAAAACAGTGCTAAAAAATATATTCAAATATGCTCAAATACCTTCGGTTGAACTGGAGACTGCCCCGGACGTACCTAGGTACATAGTTTATCAGGTGTCCCTGACTTGCTCCATATCATTTTATTTTCCGCAGCAAACGTGCGATGCGATGATATGCAACTCCTTGCCAATCTACGTAGTAACAACATACAAAATGGAGTGTTAGAGAGAATAATTCAGCACCTTATGCCACCTACTTTAGATCATCATAGGGTTCGGTGTTACTATTATAAAATTACAGGAACATTCAAATATTCCTATACAGGTTCGGTCTCACACTCATGTTTCCAGCGTCTTTAATTCAACACGCATTGTTCCACGAGCCCGTTTTCTGGTGACACTATGTACGTGGTGAGACCAAATTCCCGGAGATTAAGTTTACAGATCTGAGGTAGACTATATCTCGTTATAGGAGATAGGGAATCAAAGAGAGAGACAAGAGGTAGAAACAAAACACAAGTACCCTTCAAACACTTTATGGCTTAAAGAATGTACTCTCATGAGGGATCGCCTAGTGGTCTCATCTCAGCTAATCTACATATCCATCCACCTGCATAGATGGAAGCCTATCGCGTCACTTGCGTCCCTACATGTACCTGGCTGCTAACACCTCTTATTCGTTCGCTATATATCCAGTTTCCTCTTCCTAGTAGTCAATATCCGTGATATTTTCTCCCTTTTACTACGCCCTCAGTAAATATTCTCCTTGCATACTTACTTTGGTCGGTTTCAAATTCCTACCCCTTGATGCAAGACTTGACAAATTGCTAACTATAGCAAGTAAATGGAAATTTGCATCCGCTCAGTTGAAACCAAAATTTGTGTAACAAATGTTCATGAGTTAGATCGTGTTCAAATGACAATCCGTCTCACAATCCATTGATCTAGAAACAGGTTCAGGTATTATTGTGTCGGATTGCGAACTTCTTGGATGAAACTGGATGTAGCCCTCCGTGATGTATTTTGGATTCGTAAGAAACGCAAAAAAGGACAAAAGCCGAGCCGAAAGTGGGTATAAAAATATATACAACAGAAAAAAATGAAATGATAAGACATGCCAACGCTCAAATACCCACAGAGTCAACAAAAATGAGGGAAATAAAAAGTGTCCGCAAGATTTTTAGATTGAAAATCTTCGTACTATAGCCGAGACTTCTCGGTGCTGTGAACAATTGTTTCATGCACAACCTTTATTCCACGCTGGCTACTCTGGCTGTGGGACTCCCAGTCGTCGTTGCCTGCGGTGCACGTGGGCGGTTGCTGTCGTGAGGTAGGTAAGATCATTTGCTCGTCGCTAATTGTATTCCATTGAGTGTCTGCCGGAATCGATAGCGGATGGCGGAACTTCTTGCGTCTGGAATACCCGTCGCCACCAGTGTCGGCATCTGATAGATGGTAGCCAGGGTAGCTCTCGGAGCCACCCCTTGATGTAATGTATAGACCGGCACGCCTTGTGAATCGTCTTACCAACGGGTATATCATGGGGATATTGCCGATGACGACGGCGACGAAAGTCTCGCGGCAGGCCCAGCTGCCAGCTTGTTGAGCCCCATTTGCGCCAGCCTAATGAACTATTAGATTTTGTTATTCCAGCAAATAACTAGCAATACAACTTACTGTTAAGATGAGAACACAGCGCAGAATACCAGCCATCATAACGAACAGACCACCACTAAACAAAATCAGGAGCTCGAGCTTTTCCCGCCATCTTAGGCGGGCTTTGACAAGCATCTGACGCATGTATTGTTAGCGACATTACACACAAATGTTTAGCGAGTCTTACCGGTGCTGGAATACTAATGAGATAGAGGTCGGTCGCGACATTAAGTACCACGGTCACGTAGATGTCAATCTTAGAGACGGCAGGCTGACAGTAATCTAATAAATAATCAGATGCACGGTCTTGAAGGGTGACGAGTCGTTGATATGACATACTTCCAGGGTTTGGATATATTTGCCAATTTTTGTCCATTGGATAACATCCGAAGAGAATCGAACAGATCGTAGCAATATAAGTTGCGGCGATCAGAACGTAGGCGACATGAATTCGGATTCGCATATTCACTAAGCCTGCGCTAGATAGTAGGATATAAATTAGTAACAAACAACAAAATAGATGTAGTGGAATCAGAACCCACGTCAATCGAGAGTAGAAAATGGCCATGCACGTTTTCAGCAACCATAATAACAGAGTGTATAATGACCAGCCGGCCACCTGGACCTTGGAGCCACCCACACGCAGATGATACTCTTCTGAATCAGGCGACAATTTTTTTCGTTGTTCATCCGTCATCGAGTTATTGGCAAGGCCCATGAACCACGCGCCGACCATGTACGCAGCACCGGTTTCTAGCCCATACACCACCTATACCCCATATCGATTAGCAAGATGAAAGCAAAGAGACCACAGGTTCTAATTTAACTCACACATGCCACCAACATTAGATAATCATCAGCTTGGAACTCTTTTGGGCCAACCATAATCCATCTTGCAGTCGTTCGTAGGCCAATGATGACAATGGCTACGCCCAACAGGGTGAAAGCTTCTGTATTAAACCCATCCATACTTGACGAGTTGCAGTGATATCTTTGTGCAATATGCCATCAAAATTAAATGAAAGGACCGTTCAACCCAGGGTGTACATTCAGATAAAGGAAGAGAAAGTCAATTGCACCGAGGGGGGAAACGAGCGGCAGAAGACAGTATCTCACTGATCTCCCTTGGTCTTGCTCGTTGCTATTGGAATCAGGCCGGATAAAGAACCAAGCCCGCTTCTCAGTCGACTTATCAACACCAACGAAGAAAAGAAAAAGCAAGGACAGGATTGACCTCAAATGTCCGTTGGCCGACTTACTTATTGTGGCGCCCATTAAACTAGACTGCAAGCCCCATTTATTATGGAGATGCTCCCACTCGTGAAGAAAATTTATGACAGGTCCGGGTTCCTCATGCAAGAGTGGCAGCATCCACAAGTCTCATTGGGTGGGGATGGACTATCTTTGGCCCTGGACGCGGGCTATGGGTCCTTCAGGGTGCCGGGGAGGAGTTTAAGGTCGAGAGCACCGTTTGTTCCACTCCCAGCTTACTGGTTCCTGGAAGTGCAAACCGGCAGCCAAAAGTTCCACACCTCCCCTGAGTAAATATGACATTCCCCATTGGGGGAATGATCGGAGTAAAGAGCGATTTCGCCATCAAATACGGAGTACCTTGATAGAACTCACTTTGTCAGACCTTGGTTTTTTTTCGGTTACACACAAGTACTACATACTACATTCAGGCACAATATCAACCGGGCCAATTTTGAGAAGCAGCAATGAACCGCAATGCCAGCGGGGATCTCTTTGAGTTCCCTGCGATCTATGACGCGCAGACGGACCAACTCAGAGACGGACATACAAAGTACGGAGTACCGAGTAGCGCAGTTGCGTAAAGCTTGCGTATTTTGACCAATTGTTATATGTCATTGGAGGAACAGGCCATACAATGTTGTAGCAAGGACAGGTACAACAAATGTATCGATTTCTCTGATCCACATTCTCTTTTGGGTTGGTTTGATTGCTGATCAGGCCGGAGATTACTCCGAAGATATGTAAGTACTAACAGAAAAATTTACGCCCAGCTATCGGGCTCTCAGGCCAGTCGCATTATTATCAATAACCGATCAATGCCGTTTTTTCCGTAACGCGCCAAACGAGTCCAGGAGATATCATAAGTACTGAATTAGGCCACGGCTTCCGGTCCGGATTAGGGGTTGACAGCTTCCATTTACCTATTAACCTTAATCTTGTGCATAGCCTCTCAAAGGGCATGGCATGTTTCATGTCAAAAGGTGAGACTTTGTTGACGGTAAATTCCCGCTGCCAACGACTTGGTGGATCCAAAAGCGGGTCATTTATACGAATAACGGTCAGTTCGTTTTTCATCCAGCTTCCTAGGCCGCGGCAACTGTGAGTCTTGTACAATGTTGTATTCTTGTTAAATAATTTGCATGAGATCAATCTGTTTAATTGGACGGGGCCCAATAGTCGGATTGATATACCAACCGAGGAATGGCAACCTGCATATTGTTGGTCCCGACTTTTATTTTCTTTTTGAGCACAAAATTGGTAAATCCAAACGCCAGCCAAGCTGTTTCCACAGTAAAAAACCTATCTAAAATGACAGTGGAGAATCGCTGGCTCACGCCAACCCGCCAACCCTTCTGAATGTTGAGTTGATACCTAAGATTAGAAGAATTGACGATCCCCGCGGCCTGGCCACGCTTTGACAGCAGTGCTAAAATAGTCAAACGACGGAGCGAAGCTAAAATATTCAGTGCTGATTCGAATTCTCCAGAAGAGCCCCTGGTGACACTGAAGAGTCTCGGTACAACATACGGAGTACAAAATAAGTGCATGCCAAGTAGTAACTAGTCTGTTACCCAGATGGGTCAAGGGGTCTGGGACTAGGTCCACGGGTAGTTCGTGGTGAGCCATAATACCATTATGGAATCATCAGCTTAACCTCTCTGGTTTAAATGTCTCGGGTCCTTTTTCACCACGATCTCTGTCTCAGGAATTACAAGCCATGCTGAAGTTTGCAGGAACTGTCAAAGTAGGTTTTTCTAGGTGAGCTAATTTACTAGTCCCACCATTCCATCCTCCCGCCCTGCAACAGCAAGGGCTGAAATTAAAAAACCCAAAAAAAAAAACAAGTGCTTGACGCTAATACTTTTAGTTGTCGCTCATTCCTTCGTTCCCAGTAACCCGGTGTCGCTTGCGTTTGTTTTCTTGTACATAAATTCGTGCATTAATCCTGGTCGCGCCATCGGTTATTTTTTACCCCTCCGAGGAAAAAAAAGACGAAAGCAAGGGACTCTTCGAAAATGGAGACCGTGGATCTTGTTGTGGTGGGCGCAGGTAAGTTGAGTCCTCACCGTCGCAAGCTATTTCGCTGACCAGCATTGGCTAATAGGTTGGAGCGGGCTCTCCGCCATCAAGACCTACCGCGAGGTCAATCCCGGCCACAATGTGCTCTTGCTGGAAGCTGCTAGCTCTATTGGCGGAGTTTGGGCCAAACACCGTTTGTACAAAGGCCTCAAGTCGAACAATATGCTGGGCACGTATGAGTATAGCGACTTCCCAATGGACGAAGCGACTTTTGGCATCAAGCCTGGACAACATATTCCAGGCGATGTAATTCAGAAATATATGGAGGCATATGTACAACACTTTAGCTTTGCCGATTGCATTCGATTGGAACACCATGTGGAAAGCGCGCGACACAATTTGGACGGAACATGGCAGTTGAGCGTGTCGCGCGGAATGGATACAACAACAATCGATACCAAGAAGATGATTGTGGCCACCGGTATCACGTCACAGGCATACCTGCCTACGTTCGAAGGCCAGGAGTCGTTTGGTGCGCCGCTTTTCCACTGTCGCGATCTGCTGCAGTATCAAGATGCAGTACTGCAATCTGGGGAGCGCGCAACCGTTTTTGGCGGGACCAAGTCAGCCTGGGATGCGGCTTATGCCTGTGCCACGGCAGGTATGAAAGTAGACTGGATCATTCGTGAGTCCGGTCATGGACCTGTTTGGATGGCGCCTCCCTACGTGACGCCCTTGAAAAAATGGTTGGAAAAGCTGGTCACCACACGTCTTCTAACCTGGTTCAGTCCATGTATTTGGGGAGAGGCTGACGGGTATACTGGCGTTCGCAGCTTCTTGCATGGTACTTGGCTGGGTCGCAAGATCGTGGACGCGTTCTGGGCTATTCTGGCCGATGATGTCGTGCAGTTGAACGGGTACGACAAGCACCCGGAGACGAAGAAGCTGAAGCCTTGGGTGAGCCCATTCTGGATCGCTTCCTCGCTCAGCATTCTGAACTATCCCACCAATTTCTTTGATTTAGTCAAGGATGGCTCTATCAAGGTGCACATCGCTGATCTAGAGCGTCTCTCGGATCACACTGTTCATCTGTCATCGGGTGTTGCGCTGCCATCTTCAGCGCTGATATGCTCGACAGGCTGGCGTTGCACTCCAAACCTCAAGTTCCTGCCGGAAGGTATTGACCGCGAGTTGGGATTCCCTTGGAGTGTGGATCCGCTGAACGAAAGCCTGGTAAATGCGGCAGATGAGGAGATTTTGCGCCGGTTCCCCCGACTGCGTGATCAACCAAAGCCGAACCCTCACTACAGCCCGTTAAACGCGCAGTCCGAGGCGGCTGTGCCGCACCCCTTCCGGATGGCAAAGTTTATGGTCCCACTTTCGCTGGTTAAAGAACGCTCCCTGGCATTCATGGGTATCACCATGACCATCAACACAACCCTAATTGCTCAGACCCAGGCATTGTGGATCTCAGCTTATTTCAAGGGCGATCTGACCCCAACTACACGCGAAATCTGCCCACTGGCTGTGCGTGCTGATCTCAAGACAGAAGACACATCAGAAATTGACCTTGCCTGGGAGACTGCTCTCTTTACCGAATTTGGCAAATATCGCTACCCGGGAGGATTTGGGCGGCGAAACCCTGACTTCGTGTTTGACGCGATCCCATATGTTGATCTGATGCTGGGAGAACTGGGTCTGTCACCACAGCGCAAGCACGGCTTGCTGGCCCGCTGCCTCCAACCATATGGTCCTGAGGATTACCGGGGTCTGGTCGAAGAGTGGAAATCTAAGCAAAGTACCCAGTAATGCTTCGGGTATTGTCATTCATTTCCTTTCCCTTCATCCTGTCTGATATGTATTATGTTGTCTTCCCATTTCCCTTATCGCGTTACACGAGCATCTCCATTATACTCCCATTTCTTTCTTTTACATAAGTTGGGAACTATTCAGGCCAATAGAATGGTGCTTTTCTATATACTATATGTGAGTGTATTATATGAACATATTATGACTTTCTTTGATAATTCTCGTCTTCGACATCATCTATTCATCTATTCCACCATAACGAATTGCTCCAAAACCGCAACACCAACGAAAGATGAAGATGAAGATGATTGTACGTCACGTTCTCTCTTTTGTCTTTTTGAACCACTGCCAGCCTCTTGTAGTCGTTGGCTCTCAGACTCAATTACCTTCCCAACCATGTCTCCTGTCCATCGCATATAATCTTTTCCATTCCCCGCGACCACCGTTCTCACCGACACATTAACTTTCAACTGCCCATTTGATTCTCCCAGATCATATTCCAATCGGAATCCCTCCGGTAGATCACCCATGCGTGGCGGATATCGCCCACCAGTAGTCCTCGGACTACCGATCGGCCTCACAGTGAGAATATCGGGGTCACAGGCCGATATGAGCAGCTCTCCATCTTTGGCAACGTAGCTGCTCACATATGCTGCGTTGGTTGGGTCATCAATGGCGAGGTAACTGAACCATACGATCGAGTATGGACCCAGACGGCCGTGGCCCCAGTACCAGCTATGGACAGAGTCCGTAAAGGTTCGATCAGACCAATTCTATGACTTGGTCAGTTGCAGTTTCTCAATGTTCCTGTGCAGGTGCCCGTAGGCGATCACATCACTTACTTTATCATGGTACCCAGGCCCTCGGAACTTCAGCGTCGACCCATGGATCTTCATATCGACCTCACCCACGGCGTCGGGTATGAGATTGACCCATCCGATGTGAGGCGCAGTCTCGAGCACAGTCCGGTCCGCTTGAATTCCACAGGGGAGATGATACGGTACTTGCTGTTGGGCAAGATTAGCAAACTGTCTGTTCCTGCGACTCGAGTCACTACTCACCGACGTCAAGGTGAGCCGCCCTTCGACCTGGAGCTTTTCAGACGCGATGGTAATCTCATACTGCGATAGATTTTCTCTGAGAGCAGCCCAACTAAAGCCCGTGGAGGACCACTCGCCAGAGCTATTAGTGCCCGCACCGTCTACACCAGTCACAGTTGCCTCAGTCGCTGGGACAGAATCGGCAAAGACGGTGCCATTGGCGAAAGAAGCCCATAACCAAACATTGAGCACCGAAGTTTCATTCGCATCGAGGAATGGAAATGCTTCTGCGGATGAGGAGAAGAATGTGACGACTAGGGAATCATCTGGGTTGGTCTCCGAGACGACATCGAAATACCACCAGTCGAACACGGAGCCATTGATTGAATCTATCTGAGGTGAATCCAACCTGAAAAGGGTCTCTGTATCAAGCGTGGTTGCTGGCGTTGGGATGTCGAATCGAGCCTTGCTAGTTCCATTTTGTACAGCGCTGGAGATCTGGTAGCTCCCACCGCGAGGGTCCCTGCCAGCACGGAGGAGATATGGCAGGGGTTTTTCGTTGACCCTGTATTGACTAGGAAATGCTAGGGTCTGCTGTGCTAGCAGAGAACATATCAAGAACAGTGGAAGCATCATGGAATACATTTAAAAAACGCTACTCAATGATGGATCTCAACAGAGAAATAATGTGGTGCATCCACTATCAATCGAAGTGTACGAGAAGAAGAAAAAAAAAAAAAAAGAGAGAGAAACGAAGTGGGATATATTTGACTTGCATATGTTGCCAGGATGCAGCCGAGCTGACCCCATGGGGGCTTCGGCCACCCAACAGATATATAGCAAAAGGGGGGGACGTAGCGGAATCCTACGGTATAATTTTTATAGTTTCCAGGATCAAAGAGAGATGGCGATCCTTTACTTGTACGGAGGATCGTTCCCTTGGTTTCGTGATGGGCCAACACAATGATACCTATTTCAGACTACAATGGGGATCTATACCCTGTTCTCCGAAAACACAAAAATAGGATCACAGGATCCATTCCAATAGATACAAATCCATCTGAATACCTAGATTTACCCATACCCGTTGTCTAATTAGACTGAGACAGCCATGTGGCTACCTAGTAAGTGGCTGAGATGGCGGTTCAGCCAAATCAGCCATAGGTCTGACGAACTCCCCCATTGCAAGCGTCAATAGGCCAGATGGGTAGCCAATAATGGTTGAGCAATATAACGTGGCTTGGAAGCTGTTTTATTACATAAATTAAAACGATTGATATACTTTGGAGTTTCTCGGGATATCTTCCATATCATAATTGATGCAGGGGTGTGTATATACCGGCGTTGCCCATCCCATTAACAGTTCGCTTAATCGCTTTAAATCACAGAGAAGCAGGATAGGTACACGTCACACATGAGTCCGATAAGAACATATAGTAAACATAAATCCGGATAAAAAAAAAGATAAAAAAGCAGAGATCAGACCTTCCCATGATGCCCGAATCACAAACCCTTCGCCGAAGCTCAAAAAATAACATAAATCAAAATAAAATCCGGTAGGAACCCCGACTCCCAATGCCTCGGTAGATACATACATGTCTGCGAACTTCACCGCCCATAAATATGCGGATGAGCGTTCCGGGGGAGTTACGTCGCAGTAGGGACGAAAGTGTCGCAGGCGGGAAAACCGGAACGCGTTCAAGCTCGTCCATTTAGGAGAGGGCTGCCATCTTCACTCCGCCCTTCACCCTTGATATCAACCCCAGTTTGGTTGCCGTTCGCGTCCGAGTCGCCGTCCTTTCCACAGCCTTTCACAAGGATATGTCGCTGTTCGCAAAAGTCAGTATACGGCAATTGTTACACCAGATCACAGACGATAACATACCTTAAGAGCATCCTTGCGCGAGAAGCTCTTGTCACAGTGCGAGCAGGGGAAAGGCTTCACAGCCAAATGAATTCGTTTATGGCGCTTGAGATCGTGATTGCGGTTGAAACTCTGGGGACACTGGTCGCATTTGAAAGGTCGGTCCGCCGCGGGGGCGGACATGCCGTGCGGGGGTGGATGACCCCCATATAGATGTTGCGAGCTGGCGACATGGCCACTGTTGAATCCAGGTAGAAGGCCGGGTTGCATGCCACCCATCATCGACATGGGGCCGCCGGGGCTGTGTACGTTGGTCATGACGGGACCGTTCATCGCTGGGAGAGAATATGAGGGCCACGGCTGGCGGGGATATCCCAACGGCGGCTGTCCGCCTGATGGACTGTGAACAGGCATTCGTCCTGGAGGGTGGATGCCAAGCCCGGCGGGGCCATACATGGGAGAGTAGCCGGTCTGGTGGGGACTGTGCATGGGAGGAGAGGTGGCATACATATGCTGGTGTTTGGGTGCATATGGATCGTTGGATGGTAGTGGGGCGGGGGATGTAGCGGGTCCGCCATGGTACATCATGGCAGGTTGTGAAGCGGAGGGAGGCATGGTTGACGGGGCGGGTAAAGGTTGGTAAGATAATGTCGGGCCTTCATATGGGTGCGGCAAGCCATCCGTCGTCGGTGGTGACATTACCGAGGAACGCTGCATACCGGATGGTGAAAAGGAACTTCGGGCTGAGTATGGATTTACCCCGGATCCCCAGGACTGTCCGTATGGGTTGGCTCCTGACCAATATGCCGGCGGTAGCTCGGAGGACGCGCCTGTTGATGGCGCCAATGGTTGGGGTGTGGCGTGCTCCCCTGGTTGAATTGTGGCGGGTGGCGTTAGTAGGTTCCCCACGCTCACATTGACTGGCGCGTGGGAGACTGGGGGATGGGTGGGATGTCCGTACTTGGGTGCTGCCGCGGCCGCACCCAACGTGAACGGTGGTGGTGGGAGCTCAAAGCTGGGTAATGTTGGGGCCGCTGGACGACGAATGTTCAACGGCGGGGCTGACAGCGCGTCTAACGCTGTCCCCATGCCCGCCGGTACTGCTAGAGTCGCCAGATTTGCGGATGGGTCCCTCACTCCTACGTAGAATTCGGGGTCGTTGATGTTGGTGAGCTGGCCGAAAGAGGATCCGCTCAACGCCCAATCTCGATCGCCAGGTACGGCCCCGGAAGGGCTGGTAGAATCCAGGAGGGGCGATCGTCGATCGCTGGGGCTCGCGATCGGTATATGAAGAGAGTCGAGGGACTCAGGTTCTCCGGAGAAATAGGGAAATTTCTGGAAGGACTAGAGAACTCGAAATAAAGTGAACTAGTAAAATAGATCCGGATAAAGGATATGGGAAGTGAGATTGTCACGGTCGACGAAGGCGCGTGTAGTACATGGTCTCGGGGAGAAATGAAAGTTGAAAGTTGAAACACTAAAGAAGTGAAGCTGAGAGGAAATAGATGTGGGGGGTGGGCAAAGGACCGTGGCGTTAGAGGCGATAGCAAGCGCGGGGGAGGTGTTATAATAAGAGATGTCAGGAGATATAGAGAAGTTAAGCAAAAAAGTAAATAAGATTGATTTTTCTCGGGGAATGGAGTCGACGCGGGTCTAGCCAGGTGGCCACCGTGGGGAAAGGAATGGTATAATAAAACACAATCTTATATTAAGACAATAAGAAAGAGGAAAAAAAAGCGAAAAAAGGGCGAAAAAGGCGAAAAACAGAGGGGTGTCAGCAGAACGTGGTTGACAGCTACCTAGGTAATAACATGAGAGTCTCCCGGTTGGCTGTTCCGAATTGTTGACTTTTATGGAGAGGGGGGGGGTTGGTTTTTGTTTCTCTTTTTGATATGGATATAAAATCTATGAATGTTTGGTTTATTGGGGCTATCTTAACTTTCTGATATTAACTCTATATGTTCAAAATAACATAACGTATGTATACCGAGTACCGAATACCTATTTTATAACTAGAAAGAAAGAAAAAAAAAGACCCTTCTTCCTCGAGGGGAATCCCTTGCATCCCGACTGATCGCGTGAAAAAAATGGCGCTAGTGTAGGGACTCCGGAGAGATTCTGTACTAGCAGGAATGGACCCGACTATTATTGAGAGAAGAAAGAAATTTCTTTTTGAAAAAAATGGAAAAAAAAATGGAAAAAAGAAATATAAGTTAAATGGATCCATACTTTTTCTACTATCACGGTATGATTACTATCCAATAAGAGGACCAAGATGTCAACGCACGGACAAGGCCGGAATGGCCAGAATACGAGAAGACCGTAGAGAAGGCAGAGCAAGCGAGCTATCTAGCTGGCCATTCGTTAGTTAAAAAGCATGATCGCGCAATTCAGTTAGTCTTCTTTTTTGGTTATTTTATCTTTTCGTCTTATTAGCATATTCCATTTTCCCTATGTTGTATAATATACAACCTACTTAGACCATATGTATATTGTAGACCATATACTCCGTACTCCGTGCTCCGTACTTCCTAGAGACTATGAATCTATGTCTCTGGTCTGCGGGTATGGTCATCTGCACTTCTTTTTTTTTTTTCCTTTTTGGCCCCAAAGTAGAAGGTCGATTTGATTGGTCCCCGGAGTTCACCGGCCATGGTTGTCCTTTTCGTTTTCTCTTTTTTTTCGCTTTCGTTACTTTGGCTTGGGCCTTAAAGGTCAACCACAACACCATACCCGTTATTCTCTCACCCCCGAAAGCCAATCGCCTCCAGCATCCACTCCCTCGGGTTTCCCTCTATTGTAGGTTTGGGTGGCGGAATGCCAAACAAACGGGTCTCGAGCACTCCACGCGAGAAGCTAGCTTCGGTACCAATGTCTTGTTTTGTCCTCCAATCAACCAACAGAGCCATCTCTTTCGTTGCCTTCTGCACGGACGTGGCAGATGCTTATGTAGGGGGAAAAAGGGGGGGAGGGTATGCCCTGTCGATCGATGTTCTATCACCACTGTAGTTCTATGTACATACTCCGTACCCCCGTACATAACTAAACAAGATAAAACCTTGACAGAGCTGATCTGCCGCAAACTAATAACATGGTTTAAAGAATGTCCCGAGTACTCCGTAGAGGCCGGTGACTCCATCTATGCATAGGATGTTCGGATAGCAGAACCTCCTTGGCACAGCTTAGACATATCCACTTGGCGTCTCCGTATAGAATTTAATATTACGATCCGGTCCGCATTTCCCCCGTATTTGGTAGGCAACTTCGGCTTTAAACCTGCAGTACTCTCTCTCTCTCTCAGAAAAAAAAGAAAAAAAGAAATAGGAGAACGGGGGGAAACAGTAGGAAAAAAAAAGGAAAAGGGGGCAAGTCTTAGACATGCGAGAGGTAGCCGAGTCACATTCTTGGGAACTGCATACCTCTGCCCTAGCTGTGTCTAGTGAACGACAGACACTGCATTTCTTCAATATTGTACACTCTATACATTCTATGCAGCATACTGACCATTCGCTAGACACCCCGATTTATATTGGCTTCCTAAATTAAGTCGACAATTCGATAGCATCCCTCCACCGCGTCTGTAGCCGCACATCGCCTGCCCAAAAAGGTTCCTCTCAGCGACGATCAGTTGATCAACAATCTGTGGCCCCTCCTATGCTGGTTCCCGGTTGATCGACCTCGCACAGCCTTTTCTCGAATTGCAGGTGCAATCCCTGGACCACACTATGGGTTCGCAGCCGATTAGTCACTCCTCTCATGCAAGGCGGCTCCTACAGTCCAGATGTGACAGCGCGCAAGGATCCACCTGGCTGGTCGTGGACGCCTTAGTGCCGCCTGCATCGGCTCTTGCCGGCGTGGCTTCGGAGAGGCTCACGGTTGGCGTTCACGATCGTCCTCGGGAATGGCGTTTCGTGGAAGGTTTACTATTTTTCTCACCCGGGAGATCTGCGGCCATGAGTTTTCCTGCAGGGCTGATGGGTATGCCCCGGCCTTGGTAGATTTCAGAGCCCACATTTTGCCTGAGATCTTTCCAACATGCCTAGACTATTCTATTTATCGACTATAATGTGCTAATATATGGGTCTCAAAACTCAACAAAGATAATGGGGCACGGGTCTCTGCTGCCTGTTCTAAGGTTCCAAGGTCTAGGATCGCAACTTTCCAATCAGAAGCCAAGCTAGAGCCTCTCTGTCTCGGCATTTATTTATTTTTGGTTTTTTTTTATATTTTTGGTTTTTTTTTCGCCTCTCGATGAGAACAGCCCCACGAGCATCTTTCGGTCGCTGGAAGATCCTCCCTTGCGGCAAGAATCTAACTGTGGATCTTCCTGCATTGTATTGCTTTGAGTGGAATAATTAAGAAGAGACGTCAATTTATATCGCATCGTGTGTTGCTCTATTTATCATCAAAACCGATTCGATTTGCTGTTATCTTGGGCTCTCGTCAAGCTCATAAAGCTAGGTGTCCAGTGTGACAGTCTCTGCGGTGGAACCCTTAGGTGCGTAAATGAGGTGGTCTCATCAAGACCCGGTGATGTTTGTGATACTTCTTCTCTTTAGTTTACTGTATAGGAAACAACATTATTAAATCCTATGAGTCTGGCGCTACACAAGCTCACCCAGTACCCCAGCTTTTCGAACATCTTACCTAAATATAATTTGTAACCCAAATTTCATTATAAATTGTTTGTGCTACTTGTCTGCTCGCGTTGTTATAAATGATGTAGAACCCTCGACTGTGGTTCGGCGATATATTTACATAGATCGATTACCCGATCGCATCAAGAGCTGACCAAACAGACCAGACACTAGATCAGTTTCGGAAATTAGGCTATCAAGAAACAGAAGATAATATAGAAGACAATCTAAATAGCCTACTTGATGTCCTAGTTGCACCAGGTTGCATCTCCTTGAATTGCCGAATGTTGCTCCGATGACGTCGAACGGCGGGGTACATTACTTCAATACCTCTTTGCATTTCGAGTTTCCTTTCTACCTCCAAGGCTACTTTATCCAACTTCGCTTTTAATTCAAAATTCAATTGCAGCTTGTATGTTCCTGTCTGGTCCTGATTACCCCAAATGAACTACCGTCCATTTCTGACATTCCGAAGACCGTTGCTTGTAACCAAACACCACTTTAACACACCTCCCTTCCATTGCTTCTCTGCAACCATGTCTGGAATCAGCAAAGCCTGTTGCTCGTTCGTGATCCCCGGAATCATTGCGTTCTGTGATTCCCCAATTACGCCCCGCTGACAATCACCGTGCACAGAATCCCCCCCGTTGTATCCAAGGGCTACCAGGCCAAGGGAGAATACAAAACCATCAATGGCCTGAAGACCTGTGGGTTCTTACTTTTGCTGAACTCTTACGAATTGAGCTAATGAGATTACTTCTAGACGTCACCGGCCCAGAGTCGGCCACCAAGGCTATCCTGATCATATATGGTCAGTCACTCACTTCCCCATAAGAAATACAACCCGACCATCCACTGATACAATTGCGTGATTCGCAGACATCTTCGGCTTCTTTGACCAGACCGTCCAGGGTGCCGACATCCTCGCTACGTCGAACGACCAAAAATACCGCGTGTTCATGCCAGACTTCTTCGAGGGTAGCCCCGCCGACATCTCGTGGTATCCCCCCACCACCAAGGAGCACAAGGAGAAGCTGGGCAACTTCTTCTCAACCAAGGCTGCTCCTCCCAAAACCCTTTCCAAGATCCCCAACGTCGTCGCCGAAGGCAACAAGCTAGCCCCTGGCGGCAACTTCCAGTCCTGGTCCATCCTGGGCTTCTGCTGGGGCGGCAAGATCGCCGCTCTGTCCTCCGGCGCTGATAACAAGCTATTCAAGGCGGCCGCAATGTGCCACCCGGCTATGGTCGACGCCAATGATGCAAAGGTCGTGAACATTCCCATGGCGTTGCTCGCCTCGAAAGACGAGGCTGCCCAAGACGTCAAGAACTTTGAGGCCAACTTGAAGGTCCCCAAGCACGTTGAGACTTACCCAACTCAGATCCACGGCTGGATGGCTGCGCGATCGGACCTGGAGGACACCGAGGTACGCAAGGAGTACGAGCGCGGATACAAGACCGTTCTCGAATTCTTCCACCAGCACTCGTAAACAAAACAAAAAGGGCATTGATGCGGGGGTCCCTTGCCGGGGAGGTTTGATGATACTATGAGAACTGGATTTAATTGCGAGAATGATAATTAGTCCTGTGTGGACAAACCAAAAACTACCTTCCTCTGTACTCCGTACACATAGCCTCCTTCTACTGTATGCCCAACAAGGATAAACCCTACAGCTTGATCTGTTTTTGAATGTTGAAATCAGATATTGAAAAGTATATAAAGAAGTATGTATACTTTATTTCATTTTTTGTTCTTCTTTATATGTAGGAAGATGGATGGGGGATAATATATATGCTCGCCGCTCTTGTCCGCAAGACGTCATCACTTTCCGAATTTCCCCTTAACCTCCTTAATCCCCGTTTCTTTATTTTTACAATTCAATTTTGGATTTATTAATTCATCTCATCATCTGTGCATTTACGGGAAAAACTCGGGATCACACTCACCCACTTGCCGCGTTTCCGTTTCCAGGGTCACGACTTAAGCCGAGGAGCCGAGATCAGCACTCCGCATATACTGCTTATTTCTTATTTCTTATTTCCATTTCCATTTCTGTTTACCAGGACATCGTATTTATTTAGAGGATGCAATAATCGCATCCTCATTGGTTCTGATGTCTTTCATATTTGGCCGACGTCGTTCCTCAGACGCAGCTTCTACTGCTCACGATGAGCCCGAGGCACTCAAACGATCATCATCGCATCGCCATATCCCCGACTCTCACCAAGATGACCATACCAACAACGGGGGATTCCGAAGTTTATTTCGAAGGCACAGCGGTAGTTCAGACATACCTTCTCCAATCGCAACACAAGTAAGAATGTCTATTTTATCGTTAGAACGCTAGCTCATGGTGAAAAAGGAAAAAGAAAAGTCAAGTTCAATTGAGGCGAGCACGCCATCCAAATCAGGACGAGGGAGTAGTGGCCGACAAAATGACAGCAAAAACCCCCGTGGCTCCCCTAGGCGCGACTCGCCCGCAGCAGGAGAACACTGTGAGCCAGCGCAACCTGGAAATATCTATGATTATCTCGAATCCAAATTGGAGATGGTGGGCAAACCAAAAGACAACTCGCCTGGTACCAACCCCAGCCCACCAGAAGAATCAAATCTCACAGCGAAAGATATCAAGGCAATGTTGTCTGGGGCACCTCACTTTTTTCTGGAGAAAGGCAAGAATCGTCTATGGTATCCCCAGGTGATATTCCCCTGGGATGAGCAGAACCCGGTAATCCAACATATGTGGGATCGCAAGCCATTGCCCCATGCATCCTTTACTCTGAGCACACTTCACGCTCATCTACCGCTCCCAGACGACTGGGCTGTCAAAGGTGGCGTTCCGATCGAAGTCCTTGACTGGCGCCGAATAGACGGTATCAACAGGGCAACGTTTGACGTCGGGATCTTCGAAGTACCCAACATGCTGTCCAACAATGGCAAAGAACCCGGCACCATCGGTTTCCGGCACTTTCTTGAATTGCCTGTGGCTGACTCGATCCGATACACTGGCCCCGAAAAGCCAAGGAACCCTCCATATTTACAACAAGTCCCAACCATGGCGGCAAGCGCGGCGTACGATTTAATGGAGGGATATACCAAACCGTATTCACAATGCCAAAGTGGTGCCGTGTACGATCGACACAGACTCATCTGCCAAGGCCCCGAGGCCTGGAAGCGCATTGGAGTACGTGATATCAACATGCGATCTCTCGTGCAACGCTTAGAATATCTGTGCAAGTTACGACATGACATCCTCACAGAGGGATCGACGAAGACAATCCTGGATATTGAAAGTCCGCGTGAGTTGCACGAAATTTTACACTCCCAGTTCCTTCACCCTCGCCCTCCACCTACCGGCATCATAGAAGGTCATCCACAAAGCGTCAAATCCCAGATCAAAACTTTGGCAATCGTGCTGGCCACCCCAGGAGCATGGATCAATTTCAGTCTTCCCGAATGGCGCTTTCGGGCAGGACAGGTCCTATGGGAGGCATCCCTGCATGGTGATGGGGACTGTCTGGACCCCGATTCAAGTACTGAGAAAGTGCCGCGGGATGTTTTGATCAAGTCCGGGATGGAACGAAAGTGGTTGCTGATTCAGATGCTCCTCTCTGCTGAGTTGCTTCTGCGCTTGGATGCGTTCGTTCGAGTTGGCATGTTGCATGATCCACACGGTGGTCATATCACGATACATGAGCTTGCGCAATTCGAAAAATTGCGAGAAGGCAAGCTAAATTGGGATCTGGTTGTTGTACGCCGGTTCCTCGACAGTCTCAATATCACTTGCCCGTCGCCGCAATCAGAGCCATATCCGGGTGGCTCACGGCCAAAACTCTTCGCCACCAAGTCGCATGAGAAACGCCATCGCTTTTCCCTACTTGAAAGCATCACTCGGCGTGGCTCGCCTCCTGTTGCGGATCTACCGTCTGCCTGGAACTGTGAACTGAGCTCTTCGCACGTTCGACAGCAGCTGGAGGGTCTGTATGTCTTCGCAGAAAACATTGGATGGCCAAAATTGGCTGCACTGAAAGCTACCATGGAGCTTAAACTTGGAGACCCTAACAATCCGGTTCTACCAGTCTTAGTCGTCGATGGGAGGTGGGGACGGGAAAAAATATCCAAGGAAATATTACTGGCCAAGGAGGATATGTACACACGAAACCCCTGCCGCCGACGCGTCAAGCTTTGTAGCTCTGGCGATCCACAGTCAAAAACTTTAGGCTGGATCTCGCGTTCCTGGCTCTCCGGGTTCGTGATACCTGGAGAGGGGATCAGTCACCTTCTCATGGCGACGCTCCTTGAGAACGACGCAGATGCACTGGATCAACTGGGCTCATTTGCCAACCTCTATGGAGGGTTCGTCTACGGCGAACGGAGTTGGTGGAGCAAAGCATGCGTTGTCGGACGTGTCTTGTCTAGTTCAGCGGGAGCTAAGACATGCATGGGATGGATCAGCAGCGACATGATGCCCCGCGACGCGATTACGCAGGAAAAATTTAAATGTGGATGGCTTGAACTCCCAGTTGAAGAGGTTCCGCAGATCTCGAGCAGGCCTCGAATCAAGCACGGAGTCAAGCTTGCGTTGGAATCGACACCGCTAGGCATGGGAGATATCACAGCAGAGGCCTTTACACTCCCAACGGATAATCCAGAGCCAAGTGCAACATCTAGTGTGAAGATCGAAGGGTTGACTCTGTCTGTCGATGATTACAGGCCTCCCAACGGGAACGGCATTACAACTGCTCAGGCATCCATGTCGTTCTCGATCGCAGGCGCAGATAGTGCTGGAGTTTCAACTACGGTTTGTTTCCCCCTCAAATATAATGTGCGCTTTGTCTCCGCCCATGAGTGCTGTCCACCGTTGGGGGTCGCTTCTCACAAGCCATCCGACCGCGAGAAAATTGAAACCCAACAGCCTACGAGACCTGTGTCCAAGTACACACGTCTACCAGGCCATCCTCTGCACATCTCTTATCGATACAAGTATGTTTCCTTGGACTCCCTTTCCAATACCCCGGCGCCGCAATCGACATCGTCGCAAGGTCCAGAGGCAGCTCAAGCTCCAGAGATTATTGTCATCGACGCGCGGGGCAACAGAGACAGGGAAACCTTCGCTCGGGCGTGGTGTGCTGCTGTTGGGTGCCATGCGATAATAAGTCGGTCCGGGGGAACTCGTGTGACATGTTGTGTCGCGTGTTCAATAAGGCAAGCGAGAGCCATTGACGCAATGGTTGTGGTACGTGTGGGCGAATGAGGTGGCATTTTGCAAATGAATACAACATGGTTGGTCGCGCATGCTGCTACTTCTGGAGGCCGAGGCCGAGTTCGGGGATTGTCTGGCGTAATGGAGCCCGAAACACGAAGGGCCATAATCGCGCAAACCGGGGCATTGTCTCCATGATTGAGTACAATATAGAAATAAGTCCACGGATATTGGCCCCTTTTTGGGACCGGAAAAGCCTTTGGTGGCTTCAACGGGTTTTTCTCTCCGGAGAAGCCGTGGGGAGGGCGGAATCCAAGCCTATCGAGAAGGGGGGAAAACGCCCTCTGCACCATCGGAGAAACGCAAGTTAGAAATCAGTGAATACCACCTTCCTCTTCTCCATCAGCTGAAAACAAAAAAAAATAAAAAAATAAAAACGCCGCAAATCATGATAGGGGCAAAATGGAGAGAGGAATGGGTTTTCTCTTGGGAGGACGCGTAAGGCAGGTTGCAGGTTAAAAAGGGTGACCCTCCCCCTTGAGGGAACCGATGACCGAATGAAGTCAAGGGCCCCGAAGATGGTGAAACAGCCGGACCAAAGCTGAGGGGCCAGTGAGATCTCTGTATTGCTGGCCCACAGGGAGATCTCCGATCTCATACAATGGCACTCTGTACTACGGAGTACGAAGTACGGAGTTCTGTTACTATATATATTGTAGCCTGGAGGGTGTAGGGGAAGTGTACTTTCGGGTTTGAGGTAAAACCCTAATTGTACTATATTACTATATTGCACCCTTGATCATATCACATCCTCATCTACAAAGTTCTTCCTCTCATGCGTATTAGATCATAACATCTTGTTATCTGCATACTTATGCATATATATGCACACTTTTGTGCCAATTAAACCTTGTTACTGAAACTTCCTGGTTCAGGGATGTAGAGCCTATCCTAAATAGCACCAAGCCCGAAAGTTATGCCACGCGAAGACAATCCTAGTAAAAAGAACCCCATCGGATATCCAGTTTCCTAAAGAACGATCATCGTCGCCCGACGAATACCTCATAGGGTATACCTGCACGCCACTGCGGAGCCCGGCAGTTGGGTTTGGCAGGGGCTTTGCCTACTAATCTCTGAAGGGAATAGTTAGGGGCATTTCTCAAATTGTACAATAAAACTACCTAGGTACTCCGTGCAATATGAACTATGTACCTAATTAGACTAGTATGGAAGCGATTAAGCGACATCTTAGAATGCAGAGATTCTTCTGCGTCTATCCACATGGGTGTATTCTTGGCTAAGATTAACAACCGAGATCTGGCTCAGCCCTGGACCTGGACCCTTGTTTCAGTTTAAACAATTTGCCGATCGACAACGACGCGACGCCCGTTGGGGCTTTACCTAATTGTCCAAGCGAGCCTGATTACAAACGTTTCTGCTACAAAATATTGTATACAATATACAACATACACTCGTACATATATTAGTTCTATGATTGCGGAGTCAGTTGCCTCGCACTACTGCGAGATCTATCGCATTTACATTCGCCGCGTCACGATACATGTGCTGATTGTTCAGCTGCACACACCCCTCAACTCCAAAGAGTCTTTGTTGTGAGACCCAATAGTATCGGCTCATGTACATTTCTCAAGACCCGTGCCCGTCGATCTTCGACCAAAATGTGCTGAATTGCGGGGCCAGAGCGTGGGCAGTACAATTTTGTATGTAGTTTATCTTCGCAAAAGGGCGGTGGAAACATCCCCTTAGGCTAAGGAAGATGCAGCCTATTGTATATTATACATTAGACTCCCCTGGTACGTTGTACTTTGTACGTTATAAAATGTCTTGGAGAGCACGAAAGAGTACGGAGGACGGTGATCGGTGGCGTTTATTGGCCTTGAGGGGTTTTGTTGACGTGATACACCATACAACAGCCCTGGAGTATGAAGATCATCGTCCACTCCAGTCCACTTACCAGAACAGTATTCCCCAAGCCACGCCGGATTTGACACGTTTTCCTCTTTGGTTTAACCGGTGGGAATTGATAATAGCCCCTGTTTTCTCCCCTTCTCCTCTGTTCGAACAGGTACATTATTATTATACTGTACGGAGTACTCCGTGTACGGAGTAGAATAAGCACTGATTCCCCGTGATTTCTCCATTCAATCAGAACCTTCCCTTCTACGATTGAGTCTCCATGGAAGCTGAGACAGAAGGAAAAACCCCCGAGATGAGCCCCATGCGAATGCCAAGACCCAACCTGTAACGCGCTACCACAGTTAAGACGATCCTTAATTAAACCTTGACCTGCCCCACGCAGAGTTTGTGAGATCGCTTGTAATTCGCATGATGTTACCTATGTTGTCCGTATATTATAATTATAATATATTATTTGTAGCCTTTTAAGGCTTTCGGACTGTTGTCCTACTCGGGTGTAGTTCAGGGCTGTGTAGATGCAGATTTATGTCTACCGATTGGTTTTCAAAGTACAATGCTATATTTTATTGTAGCAGGATCAAATATTAAGGGCCACGTACGTGTTTCTGGAAATAGTCCCCAGAAACGCCATCATAAGGGTTGAAACATTGAGATTGTCCTATTAGCATTGGAAGTATGGAGTACAATTAGGTACTCCGTAGAGACTTTTCATCCAACGTACATTGTGGTTGGATCCATGAAGAAAGGCCCGTGGTCACTGATTGGCCCACTATTTCCATGGATCTTTTGACGGGTTTCTTCTTTTTTTTGGCTTTGGCTGGATAAATGCAACAAAATAAGGATTAAAGCTACTGGAAAAAGGGGCAAAATGTTGCACAGAAGATTTTTTAATTTTCTAGAAAAATAAACGTTATATTAAACAAACTACTCCGTACAAAAAAAAAAAAAAAAAAAAAAGGATTTAAAACAATAACCAATAACCTGATACATATCGACCGTGGACCCTGAATCTGTTTTTAGCACAAATTAACCGATGGTTCGTTTCAGTTCATATGATGTTACGGAGTAGAAAGTATGGGCGGAATTTCTAGTCTTCCAGAAGGCCATGTGGTCAATATCCCTTAGATCGAACTGCCTCCCCTTCGAGAAGCCCTCTAAGTTTCTAGGGATCAGCCTCTGAAATGACCAAAGACAGAAGGTTTTTTTGGATGGACCCTCAAACCAACAAGCCTATTGGTTCTGGGTGCCGACCTAAGCTCGCATCACCAATCACCTAGCCGGGACTTGAAGGAAGTATTCCCCAGTTCATTAATGATTGACAGGTATCCTTATTGGCACTAAGCCTAACTGGTCTTGTACACTTTGAGCGGCCACAGTCTAACATCCACACATCCCCACTATTGTCAGGACTCCCAGACCATGGTTCCTCGTCTTTGCTTCATTTGAAGAACCGGGTCTATAGTACGCAATCAGGGGCATTGGCAAGTTACCTAATCAACTGAGGACCAATCTGGCAGTGACAGGATTCAAAAAAAGGAGCTACGTAGGTAAAAAAGAGATTGCGAAAAAGGATAAAATAGGGAAAACCTTGCAGAAAACAAGAAATACTCTCCATATTTAAGAGTAAATCTACGATGCGCTACGTAGTAAATCTAGAGCATTAAGGGAAGTTGTCCGCGGACCCCTGAACTGATCATCCATTGACAATGACCTGCAGTTGATTTGGGTTAAGTCGATACATCCGTGTTAGTCTTAGTTGGTATGAGAGCCACCTTGTTCCACGTACGGCGTGATATACATACTGAAAATTAAATTAAATCCAAAAATCTCAGGGAAAAAAAATTAAAACCCTCTAAAAAATAAATAAAACAAAACACCTTTGGGCGTTTCACCCCGCGATTAGCTTCTACCTGTTGGACTATACCTACCATCTTCGATCTGCTCTTCTTCTCTTCACACCGTTCGCTTCATATTCGCTCCTTTGAATACTCTATTTTTCTTTTCTTTTTTCTTTTCCCTCTTACTAATCTCTTTTTGGTTATTATCCTTTGACTTGTCCTAGTGTGGTTTCTTCCTCGATCTCAAACTAGGCCACAATAAACTTCTAGGCCCTAACCCCGTCCAAACCCCCGGCATTCCAACACTTTACTCACTATAATTATCACATTGATTAATTCGCAATTACTCGACTTGGGAAATTCGCGGCAACCTGGAATCCAATCTATCCTCGACCATTCTATTGCAACATTACCTCTATACTTTGAGACACACGGCGGGCCCTAACATACGTCCATCATCCCCCCTCTGAAACGCGCGCAATATCGTACCTGGTCCAGTGTGGCGCATGTGGATCAGATCCTGGGAATTGAAGCAGCGTCACCCTCTGGAGGCACTCCGTCATAATCTCTCTGCAGTGTCTGTATGGCCTTGCGCGGATTCTTGTCGCATTCACCTTTGATCACGCCTCAAGGTACTCTCAGCCTGTTGCTTCGCAAAGCACGCCTTTTGTTTCGCCGGGGCTTTTGATGCACCTTTTACCGATACAGCGACAGAACCGTGCTCGTGGGAGCTATGCCAGCAGCTGTCGACGAGATGACATCAACAGCAAACTCACAAAGCGCCATGGACGCAAATGATAAGAAGCGCAATAAGTTAGGATATCATCGAACCTCTGTCGCATGTGGTCAGTAATAAATCCCAAACACCCATCGCCCTTTTGCGTGTCGCCCTTTTGCGTGTCGCCTTTCTTTCGTCGTTTTTGCAGTGCGAAAATGTGTCGATCAGGGAGGGGAAATATACAAACCCTCCTTTCGAGGATGGGGTATTCGCATGTGACCATGTTACTTATACCTTTACAGTGCATTGTCGACGACGAAAGATCCGATGTCTTGTAGCGCCAGATGATACGGAAGGACGATGTGAAAACTGCATTCGATTGCGAAAGGACTGTCAGTTTTTTCCAGTGGACCAGCAACCACCGATTGAAAAGAAGTCACGACCAAACTCGAGATTGGAAACACCCTCAACCGAGCGCTCAAATACCACACCAATTGCTTCCTCTCCGACTAGTTTGATGCCAGATCCCGCCGAGACTTTCTACCCATACCAGGCTATGCCAATGAACACCTCGTCCGCGCAGGACATGTCAACGTACAACGTCGGAATGGTTCAAACCAACATGAGTTTAACGCCAGGTAGGTTTATGTCATGCAGACTATCATCTCTTCACTGCAATCCAGGCGCATTCGTTGACTGACTGATCCGAACTAGACCGACCCATGGGACCAGGAGACTTTGCTGGGCATCAACCGATGGACACGGGGGTTGCGTGGGACGAATTTACGACAATAGCGGACCCGCAGCTGTTGAATACGATGGCAGCCGGAAAGGGTCAGATTATGAATATGTCACCTAACTTATGGAATCCCGGGAGCATACACTCCGGCCTACCACCCCCTTCGCCGATATCTGCAGCATCTTCAATGGGAGGCCAAGCGCAGTCTATGGGCCAGACGGCATATGCTATGCAGCCAGACGGAACAGTTTGGCAGGTCCCGCCGCCACCGCCACGAACCATGAGCTATCCTGGACAGGAAATGGGCTCATCATACCCTAATCAATTTCACCCACAAATGCCTCCCGAGCTCAAACGGAGAATGACCACACCCGCACAATCCCTGTCTGCCACAAGTGCCATGGGCCCACAAGGCTCGCCAGGCACGCCTGAGATGCATACACCAGGCTCAGTCTCATACCCACCAGGAATGAGCTACCCGCAATGGCAGGATATGAGTGCCATGTCTGGAATGGGCGTGGTGCCATATCCTATGTACTCCGGCGACGCCGTTCCGCA